ACATGTTCCCAGCCAAGGCTCCCCAGCAGCACCACAGGTTCCCACTGATGGGGACGCTTTGGACTCCCAGAGTCACGCAAGGGCCGAGAGGCTGCGCAGACATGGCCTCTGTCAGCTCCAGTTTGTCGCCAGGGATCACGCTTGTCGAGGTGCAGTGACAACTCTGTCTTACGGGGAAGTGAGCAGAGAGTTCACGAGAGCCAGGTATGCCTGGGCGCAGCCGGGTCGGGGCGCCTCACCCTGAATGTCTCTGTGCCACAGCTCACCAGGCTCAGTCGCAGGGCAACACAAAGTCACAAGTCAGTACAGGGACAGTGTCCGTGGGGAAGGCTAGGACTGGCCGGCTACACAGGAGAAGATACAGCATCTGCTGGCTCTGATATCACCATACCTCAGCCTTAGGGCTGGCGCAGGTCAGCAGTGCGTCCAAGGCGTTCATTTAGGCGCTCAGAGGACACGGGTCCAAGACAGACAGAGCAAGGCTGTTGACAGACAGCGAGCCCCACCCTCTCGGGCTCTGGAGCTCTCCTGTCAGTCCTCCAGGGCCCTGGGGAGCTGGTAAGAAATACCAGGCTCTCCTGGGTCCCTTTGGTGACATCTGCTAAGCATCTCCAGATGCTAGCAGAGCGGGACCCACACAGCTTCTCCTTGCTGTGCTTGGGGCTCACTGGATGTCCACACTCAGCCCTGAGTAGCTCTTGACCCTGCAGCATTGGCCAGGTCCAGGGCGGCCCTGCGCCTTGATGCAGAGGCAAAGCCTGGGCTCCCCCTGCAGGGCTGGGCTCCTCTCAGAATGGGCGCACAGTGGCACTGGCACTGGCACTGTCTGCGTGTGGCATCCACAGAGCCTAGTCCAGTCCCATGAGAAGGCCTGCGTTGCCTCCAGCCCTACCTGACCTCCAGCGCTGCCCACTGCCCGATGTCCCCAGTGCCACTGTCTGGCCTCCGCTCACCGTGGCCTCCCTCCCTGCTGGCCCTCAGGGCAAGAAGAGCAGGGTCTGTCCCCTTCTGTCTGTGACCCCTTTGCCCAGCGCAGGATGGCGGCTGAAGCAGCAAAAGTAGAACTTCTCTCAGGGCAGAGCCAGAGCCCGAGATCAAGGAATCCAAGGACTGGGGCCCAGAGACCTCAAGGCTGGCAGTATAGAGGGGCTGGGGTCTCCGGCGTCTGCCTTCATGCTCCTCCGCTGTTCTGTTCATTTGTTCCCTTCTCAATTCTCAGGCCAAATCCTCCATCTCGTTATTTAAGTTCTTTTTTTTTTTTTTTTTTGTACAGGAGATCGAACTTATGACCTCACACTTGCCAGGCAGGCACTTACACCACTGAGCTAAATCCCCAGCTCTCGTTATTTAAGTTTTTAAACATTCTTTTAACAATTAATTTATTTTCTTTTTATCTTACTTATTGTCTTTTTGAGAAAGGGTCTCACTATGCAGTCCAGGCTGGCCTTGGGCTCACTTTGTAGCCAGGCTGGTCTAGAACTTGCAACGATCCTCCTGCCTCAGTCTCTGGAATGCTGGGATTCTAGGTGTGTGCCCCATGCCCGAATAAAATTGAATTTCTTTAGTTCTATGGATGTGAATGTTGTCAGCATTGTTTTCAAATCCACCTTTAGAAGCTCCGGGGCTGCATCTCCTGGGGTGCTGCCTTAGGCTTCCTTCAGACTCGGGCTCCGGTTAGTTCTGGGTCTCTTTCCCACAGAGCTCATGGAGAGGTTGGTGCTGGGCTCTGGACAGGCGGGAAGGGCATGGCCATGGCCAGGGCGGCTGGGGGAGGAGGGGACAGTGTGAGGCATGGAGTGAGGGGGCCACAGTGTGCGTTGAGTCTGCCCCCCTGGGCAGAAGTCTGGTGACCACTCAGACCCCATGTGCCTGGGGCCTGAGAGTGGGGCTGGGGCTCCTCTCCGTGAGTGTGACAGCCTGCAAGTGAGCGTGAGCCTGCAGGGTGGAACCTGCTGGGAATGGAAACTGAACGCAGGTTTCTTAGAAAAGACCAAGGCTGACACTGTGGTTCTTCAGTGAACTGAGCTTTTGATTTGTAAGTGTGTCTTCTTCATGTGAGGCTGGGCTCACTGACGACCGCAGGTGACATTTGGAGTCCTGAGGCCACTTCTGTGGCCCTCGGCCTCCTAACTGTCCAGCGCATGTCTCTGTCCGGATGGCAGTGACCATGCCCGGCTGGTAAAGGACGAGATGGACAGGCAGGGATGGATGAGGAGGAGGGAGAGATCGTCCCTTGCTCACCAAGAAAAGCTGTACAGTACTAGATGTGGTCGAAAAATGTGGTTGGTGCTTTAAAAACCTGCTTTTAATTACTAGAGTAAGAGACTTGCCCGGAGCTCTCCTCAGAATCCTCCCCTCGCCTCACACACTTAACCCACTGCCCCGCCACGGTCCCCAGCGGCTCTGAGTCCTTTCTCCTGAGGATTTTCACATAGTGTGATCAAAAGTGTGGTGCCCAGCACCGCCCAACAGAGAGGTGGCTCCTAAAACACACGCTGGGCCCTCGTCCACCTCAGTCATCGGATCTGGCCCCATGTGACTTCAGGCTCCTCCCCAAAGCCAAAGTGACCAGGAGAGGGGCACATTTCAGATCAGTTCAGGACATGGAGGCAGCGGGACAGTGCAGCTGAAGTCCTCAGGAGAGAGCCCTGCAGAGTATAGGAGGTGGCCAGGATGGAGGGAGGAGTCTGTGTGCAGAGCTGGGGAGGGGATGGAGGGGGACTCCTGGCTACTCATCTTTCACTCTAATGAATTTTCCAGCTCCCTTTAAACTCTCTGCCGGTCATCGCACAGGCAGCGTGCGAGGTGCCAGCCTGTTTCCACACAGCGATGTCACGAGGCAGCCTGCAAAGCTCTCAGAGTGGCAGCCTTTCACTCCAGAAGGAAGTTAAGAGGGTTCTCAAGGCTGCACCCCAGGACCATTCGGTAGATTCTTCATGTAGCATACATAGGTACTGGGAACCTGGCCTAGCGCCCCAGGCTCCCAAATGAGTGCTAGGTAAAGGCCCAGCAAATGAGACGAGCGGACTGATCTTTAGGGCTCCAGGGGGACAAGAACCCTCTGCAGAGTTCTCAGCTCTGGTGGCTGAGACAGACAAGGTCTCTGGGTCCCTTTCCCGTATTTATTCAAACAAGGAAGGGGTTAGAGTGGAAAACCCAGGAAACCTGAGCAGGACCTTGGGAGGGCTTCAAGGACCCCTCAGAGCAACAGATGATCCTAATTAAGGTGACCTAGCCTAGGAGAGAGTCTCCAGGTGGCCTCAGCTGTGGCCTGTCTTGCCCCTGAGGCGTCTCCTGGTTCTCAGTTCAGCCATGCCTGGGCCACGCCACAGCCCTGCATGTGTATTCAGCTTTAACAGCTCGGACACATACGTAATTGTACAGCTATTGTGTCTTATCTTGACATCAACCCCTGCCCTTACAAACCAACCAGAAGGCTCGGTGCTTTTCTAGTTTAAAATGCATGGATTTGAAATCCACTGAGCTGCTCCATTGAGACTGTAGGTGTCCACACCCATCAACAGACAGTGGATAAAGAAGACCTGGGGTTCACACGCTGTGGAGATCTACTCTACCCTAAATAAGGATAATGGAGTTGCTAGTAGATAGATGGATGCACCTTGAGACCAGGATGCTAAGTGAAATCAACCACACTTGGAAGGTCTTCTACAACACGGTTCCTCCTCTAAGAGAGGATCTTTCTTCTTCCTGACTCCGGACCAGGTATTCTTCCTGACTCCGGATCCGCGTGTTCAATCTGTAGCTTTCCCAGGAAGGGGACCAGGCGCTCCTGCCTCTCAAACCCTGAAGGCATTTTAAAAGTGTATGCTTGCACTTTCCCAGGCAAGCTGCAGAGCCGACACAGCTCACCTCAGTTCTCCTCCTCCACCCTGGGTGCACTCCCTGGGGTACAGGGCCGCCTCCCTCCAGGCTTCCATCACCTCCCATGCAGGACCCTGCAAGAGCCTGCGCATCACGCAAGGGTCTCCGCTCTCTCTCTCTCTCTCTCTCTCTCTCTCTCTCTCTCTCTCTCTCTCTGCTTTGTTTACTCAAATTTCTGTTTTATTTTTACTGTATTTTACTTTTAGTTCTAGGAATTGTAACAGCAGTTGGCAAAAAGAGAAACCGAAAGGAGACATCAAATTGTTTCTAAATTTTTAAAGGAATTTTTTATAGACCACGGATAACTAAGCAAGAAAACACAATAGAGAAAAAGCAAAAGAAAGAAAAAAAAAAACACCATGGGAACACTTTGTAATATTTGTTTCAAAATGTTCTCTTCATGGCTGTTTTCACTTGGTGTTAACACTGCTCTGAAGTGACAAAAACCCTGTGGTTTTGGGGCTTTTCAACTTTTTTTCACAAAACTTCTATTAGGGAGCATATTACTGTGATATATGTATTTACAGAAAAGATCGTCATGTTTCGAATATTCCGTCTTTGTCTTTTGTGAAAACCTTTTAAGCAGAACACTTTTTAAAAACAATTTTCGTACCTGGGAGGGATTGAGCCCGGGTCTTCTTACTGAGCTACTTTTACTTATTTTGAGACAAGATCTGGCTAAGTTGCTCAGGTGGGACCCAGCCTGCAGTCCTCCTGCCTCCGCCTCCCAGTAGCTGGGACGATAGCCTGTGCGCCACTGAGCCTGGTCTAATAAATGCATTAACCCATTTGTTTTGGTTGAATTTTCCTTCTCTCGTTTGAATGCACAGGAGTAATAACACGCAGAAAGGACTCTTGCAAAGGATCTTTCTCTACACGCGGCTTTAACCAGACTCAGAAGGAGGAAGCTGGGCCTGGCGCCACGCGGAGTCCCCATCCCACAGGACCCGCCCACCCTTCCCTTCTCCACGTGGGGGCGGGGACGGGGGCGGGGGCGGGGGTGGGGGTCGGCGGAAAAACTCTGTCAGGAAAGTCCGCGGTGCCCACAGGCGGGCGGGCGGGAGAGAGCGCTGCCTCAGCCTTGCTCGCCACGTCCTGCGCCCTGGCGCTCGGTGAGTCAGCTAAGCGGCCGTGTCAGCGTGATCAGTTCTGGGACCCGCGTTCCACCGGCGGCGTCCGAGGGTGACCACTGGGGCCGAGAGCCCGGCAGGGACGCACTGGGTCGCAGGGCCACCCGGTCCCAGGCGCAGGCGGCGCGGTGAGTGCGGGCGACTCGGGTCGGGATGCGGGGACCCGGAGAAGCAGCGCCGGCTCCACGTGCCTGGGCCGGGCCAGGGGTGGCGCGCGCCCGTGAGCACGCTGGGAAGCTGAGGCAGGCGGCCCGCAAGTTGGATCCCAGCTGGGGCACCTTAGCGAAAAGGCCCTGCCTCGACATAAAAAATAAAAGGGGCCTGGGGCGCCTGGCCTTCCGTGCCGCGTTCTCGGGGACCTCGGGCTCCTGGCGCAGTTCCCATCCCTGGCACCCGCCCAGGTTTCCTCCGCGGCTGGTCCAGTGGGGTGCAGGTGCGAGGGAGGAAGGAAGGAAGGGGCCCTAACTTGGTCCACATCGGCGCCAGGCCCCTGCTTGAAATTGGATCGCTCTTGTGTGTGTCGCCCACTGACACCGGGTCCCAGGCAAGGAGCGCGTCCCCAGCCCCTGGCCGGTGGGACTCCGAGACGCACGGGTGCCCAGCTCCGGAGGGACCCGCAGCTGGCCGGGGAGACATGGCATGCGGAGTCGCCTTTGGCACCTGTGTCCCGCCTCGCGCGCCCTGCACGGCCGCGTCCACTCTGCATCCCGAGAAGCCCTGAACCAGATGTGCCCCCTGCCCGGGCCGTGACCGAGCTCCCTGCCCCCTCCTGCGCGGCACCGACCAAAGGGCGCTGGAGGGCTCTGGGCATCGCGGTCACCTCGGCTCCTGGCTGAGTGTGAACCCCGCCAGCCGCGGGCAGGGCAAAACCGCCCCAGAGCCCCCGGGTCTCCGGGGTAGGGGGAGCAGGGGGAGCAGGGGGAGCAGGGGGAGCAGGGCCAAGTCTGAACCTAGCGTGACAGTCACGCCTGTGCACCTCACCTCTGCCAAGCCCTACAGCAAAGAGAGAGAGTTTTAATCAAATGAATCTTTCCGCGTGGCTGGGAAGCCAGGGCAGAACGAGCGGTGGGTTCTTCAAGAGTAAGTGACTCTGTCACTGTGGCTTTGTCCTTGGATTCTGCTGTTGCTGGTGCTATGGCTTTCGGAGTCAGGGTCTCTGTGTCATTCACGCAGTCCTCAAACTCACTATAGAGCTCTGGCTCACCTGGAGCGTGCGGGGATCCTCCTGCCTCAGCCTCCCCGAGTGCTGAGGTGCTGGGGTGACAGGCTGCGCTGCCAAGCCTGCTGTTCTTTCCCTTATCAACGTCCTCACAGCAGACGCCAAGCTGTGAACCCTTACATTAATCCTGTGACACAGAGGCTGCTTTCCCTCGAGGGTTACAGGGGACAAAACCCAGGCCAAGGTGTCCAGGTGATCTGTTGCAGGCCGCACAGGTAGAGGTTGGTTTTTGTGTTTCAATGAATTTTTAGGCGTCCTCGTGTGCAGCCCTCGTGGGGAGTGGGTGCAGGGCCAGCACGCAGCTCCCACACCTTTCCCCCCTTCCCTGCATCTCCTGACTGCTTCCCTTTTGAAACAGATCTCCTTCTTCTCTGTTGTCTCTTTTATTTCCCTCTTTATTTATGCTCAGGGTGTTCGTGGCAGAGAAGCCGTATGATGTTAAGCCCGAGGTCTGGTTCACTTCACTTAGCAGTGTGACCTCAGGCTGCATCCATCTTCCTACGGGTGGCTCAGATTTGTCCTTCTTTACGGCAGAGTAGTGCTCCATGGTGTGCAAACACTGCATTTTCTTCATCTCACTCTCCTCTGATGGACATCTGGGCTGCTTCCAAGGTTTAGCTGCTGTGACCTGCGTTGCTGTAACCGCAGCAGGTGGGGATCCCTGGAACAGGACCTTTTGACTCTTTTGGGAAGAAGCCTGGGTGGGAGTAGAAATCCAGCCTTGGTTTCTGAGGAGTCTCCATACTGATTTCCAGTGCTTGTCCGAGCTGCTGTTCCCATCTGCAGGGAAAAGGGCTCCCTTCCCCCCCACATCCTCGCCAGCCTTGGTTATTACTGGATTTCTTAAAGATGACTGCGCTTTCAGGGTAAAGTCTGACCCCGGTGTTGTTTTAATTTGCATCTCTCATGGCGATGTGGAGCGAGTCTTCCTGCACTTCTGCTGAGAAGAATCCATGCATTCCAGTTGCCTGTGTTTTGATGGGGTCTTTTATCTGGTGTTCTAATTTTTGAGTTCTTTATGTATTCTAGATCTTTTGCTCTGTCCAAGGAATAGCAGGCCAAAAAATATGTTTTTTTTTTTTTTTTTCTCATCCCTGAGGTCGTCTCTTTCCTCGGTTGTTTGCTTCACTGTGTAGAAGCTTTTTAGTTTGTCACTGTCCCTCTAGCTGGTTCTTGGCATTCTCTCCCGTGCCATTGGGCTCTGCTTGGAAAGTCCTCATCTGAGTCTGTGTCAAGTGTGCTCCCTGTCCCGTCCTCCAGCAGGTTCGTGTTCGTGTCCTGATGTTCAGATCCTTGACCATTTGGATTTTAGTTGTGCATAGAGAGAGACGTGGGTCTAGGTTCCTCTCGGTGGGTGGACAGCCGTCTTCCCCACCTTGGACTGAACAGGCTGCAGCCCTTCGGCCTGGTGCTGCTCCTGCACCCTCTCCTCTGGGCATTGCACCTGAGTTCGGTTTTGGTGTCAGTACCTCGCTGCTTTAGTCCCCTGAAATCAGGGCTGGTGACGCCCCCTACTCTGCCAAGCCGCCCAGGGTGGCATTTGCTCCTCTGGGTCTCTGTCGGCTCCATATGAATTTTAGAGTCATTTTCTCTAGATCTGTGAGGAATGCTGTGGGTATTTTGAGTTGAGATTGCATGAAACCTGTGCATTGGTCTTGGAAGTGTGGCATCTGGGTTGAGTCATCTGCCCATCCAGGGCGGTGCTATCTTTGCATTTTACAGGGCTGGCTCATCAGGACAGGAGCGGAGAGGATAAGGGTAAGAGTGCTGGGTCAGCTTCATTGTGTGTGTGTGCGTGTGCATGCATGTGTGTGTGCGTGCATGTGTCTGTGCATGGGTGGCATGGCTAAGCTGATTGACCGGCAGGCAAACAAGTCTGTGAGGAGGAGAGGAGAGGAGAAGGAGAAGGAGGAGATGGTACACCCAGCCTTGGGGACCCTGCTGGTGGCTGGCGGTTGCATTTGTGAGACGCCGGCTGGGTGCATGTGGCAACTGTCATTTGTCACTCTGTGGGACAGCAGCTGTTGTGTGGGGCACAGCAGGTGTACAGTAGATACAGCGAGCCCTCCAGGTGCCCACCTGACAGCCTAATGCACCACCTTGTAGCACATCTAACAAGCACACAGCTCTAGCACATGGAAAATCACAGGTGACTTCTTACTTGATTTTTCATATTTTTTTCTGCGCACGCGTGCGTGTGTGTGTGTGTGTGTGTGTGTGTGTGTGTGTGTGTGTGTGTGTGTTGAGACAGGGCTCCTTATGCAATTCAGGCTGGCCTTGAGCTCACTTTGTAGCCCAGGCTGGTCTCAAACTTGCAACAACCCTCCTGCCTCAGCCTCCCAAGTGCTGGGAGTACAGGCGTGAGCCACCACGCCTGGCTTGATTTGTTTTCCTAGCCGTGTTTGCAGTACACAGTGTTCACACCCTCTCGTGGAGCTGCTGGAGGGACCAGATCAGCTTCAGTTTCCTCCCCTCCCCTCTGCCAACCTTGGTCCTTTTAAGTCCATTTAAGGACGAGCTCTCCCGCCTTCCTGTTATCCATCTTTATTTTGCTCCTTACTTATACTCTGGGTTTCTCTTCTAAGAGAACTCATGCAATATGAAGCCCAGGTGTCAGCCATATTTCACTTACATTATGGTCTCAAGTGCACCCATTTCCCGAGAGATGACTCGGGGTTATCATGTTCGTGGCAGAGCAGTACTTCGAGGTATGTAGCTACGTTTTCTTTATCTGTTCACCTGTCAGTGGACACACAGGCTACTCCAGGATGTAGCTCCCGTGAATCATGCTGCTATAAACATGGTTGTGTATGAATCCCAATAATGTGACGTCTTTAACTCTGGGGAAGACGCCTGGGCGGGAGTGGAATTCCAGCCTTGGTTTCTGACGAGTCTCTGTACTGATTTCCGGTGATTGTCTGAGCTCGTGTTCCCATTGGCAGGGGAGAAGGGCTCCCTTTCCCTGCATCCCCGCCAGCCTTGGTTATTATCCTAGATAATGTCCGTGCTTTCTGGGCTAAAGTGGGATCCCAGTGTTGTTTTAATTTGCGTCTCTCTAAAGCTGGTAATGTGGAGCATTTCTTCCTGTATTTATCACCATCTGTACTTTGTCTAAGAAATGTTCCTTCTCCATGGCTTCCCAATTTTTTAAATTTGTTTTGTATATTTTTTGAGACAGAGTCTTACTGTAATTCAGACTGGCCTTGAGTTTACTGTGTAGCCCAGGGGGCCCTAAAACTCTCAACAGTCCTCCTGTCTCAGCCTCCCGTGTGCTGGGATGAGGGACAAGTGCCACCATGCCTAGCCGGCCACCCAGTTTTTGATTGGGTCTTTTATGTTGGGGGTCTAGTTTTTAGTTCTTTACATGTTCTAGGCGCTAGTCCTCCTGCTGAGGAATAGCTGCCACAGTATTTTTCCCATTCTGGGGGTTTTCTTTTCACTTTACATGTTCACTTCTGCTGTGCAGAAGCTCTCTAATCTCACCCGACCCGTTCCTTGGTTCTCAGAGCTCTTCCCGTGCCCCGGAGGAGCGAGTTCAGGAGCCATGGCAGCGTCTGTGATTTCGAGAGCTACCCCACCGTGTCTGCCACAGATGAAAATGGTCTGCCTGAACCCTTAGCTCTCTGATCCATTCTGATTTCAGTCCAGGGCCCGGGGAGGGGACAGCCAGCCTTCCCCACACCCCTAATAGAGAGGCTACCTCTCCTCCGCTGTGGGTTTTGGGCCCTTTGTCAAAGATCAGATAGCTGTGTGAAGTCACAAGGATTTAAAAAAGAAATGCCCCACAAGACCTGAGGCAAGGCCAGGGTCTGTGGTGTGTCTGAGGTGGACGGCCTTGTCTCGGGCCCAGGAGGGTGGTCGGGATGGGGCATTGCGCTCTCGCTGTGAGGTGCCTGCAGCAGAACTTGTTCCCTTGCTGAGCACCACACATTTCCCTGAAATTAACATGGTGCCAGCAGCCAGGCTCGGTGGTGCACACCTATCATCCCTGCACTCAGGAGGCTGAGGCAGGAGGATTGCCATGAGTTCAGGCCAGCCTGGACTAGAGAGAGAGACCCTCCCCAAAATATGGCGCTTCCTAAGAAAAGTACAGTGCAGGTGTCTCTGCCTGCTGCTGGGAAGTGATCACCACAGGGGCAGGGATGCTGGGGATGCTGTCTCCCTGCAGGAGGGAAGGGGCCCCCAGGGACAGTGGCCTGCCCCCCCCCACCACCGAGGCTGTCCTGGAAACCCTCACGGTCCAGGCTGTGAGTAGTGACACAGCGCTGGCTCTGATTCTGTGACTGTGGATGGAATCATCCTCTGCTAGCCGCTGGCAGGGACGCAGGCAGGGGAGGTGTTCTGGTTGGCGGCGGCAGGTTTCACTTTATTGGAAGAGACCTGTTTACCTGAAGGTCCCAGGGCCTCTTGAGTTTCAGAGCAGCAGTGGCTCCGCAAACCTGGCTGAGGTGCGGGGAAACCAGCAGGTTCGTGAGATACAGTCACCCTCTCACTCTGTGTCACCGCCCTCATGCGCGTCCTGCTGCACACTGGGTGTGACAGGTGACACCCAACGCATGGCCCTCGGGCGTGTGAGGACCCACAGATGCACACTGTATATCCATGTGTCTGCTTGTCACTGCCCCTGGAGCAGTGGGACCTCTGGCTGTCGTGGAGACTCTGAGCTGCTGCTGGTGGCCGTGGCTGAAACTCCCTGGGTGTCCTGCCGCAGGTCATTGGGTTTAGAAAGCAGAGATCTGTGTCCACTCCTCTCAGCCTCCCGTGTCATGGGCATCTGGCTCCACCTGTGATTTCCTCTGGGTGGGGGGAGCCCGAGTTTGAAGGTTACAGTGACCCCCACTGTCCTTGCTGGTGAGGCATGTGAGACCTTTCCGCAGATTCTCAGGTCGAGAGCTGTTACCCTTCTGCCACTCGTGCAGGTCCACAGGGGTCACCCTTGCGTTTTGGGAGGCTGAGACAAGAGAACCTCAAGTTTGAGCCCAACCTTAGCAATTTAGCAATTTAACTTGGCAAGACCCTGTCTCAAAGTAAAAAAGGGTGGGATGTTGCTCTGTCTGGAGGCCCTGGGTTCTAGCCCCAGCTCCCCAAAAAATGTGTGTCTCTCTTTCTGGGGTGGAGAGTGGAAGAAAGAGAAAAGAAAAAAAGATTAAAGAAAATAGTGTGACGACCACGGAGACCTGGCACCTGCGGTTTCCCCAGTGTCCTGGCATAAACAGCCAGCAATCCTGGGGGCTCCTGTTAGCGTCTCTGCCACGAGAACAGAAGTTTCCTCGAGGTGACACCATAGGATGCAGCTATGGGAAGCTGGAGACCAAGGGGACCAGAGCCCTGAGGCCCCTGTCACTGGGGAGCGGCAGGTGACAGGGGTCTCTGGTCTGAGCTGCAGACACGGGACAGAGAGAGAGGGAGAGGGAACTTGCTGGCAAACGCCTGTCATCCCAGCACTCGGGAGGCTGAGGCGGCAGGTGGCTGTGAATTCGAGGCCAGCCTGGGCTACAGAGTGAGTCTCTGTCTCAAAAAAAAAAGACAGCTGCAGGGTCTCATCTTGATCCACCAAAACAAAAGTAAAGACACAAGCAGCCAGGTGCCTGTGATCCCACGGGGAGGCTAAGACAGGAGGATCACTCGTTTCAGTGCAGCCTGGGCAACACAGCAACTGAGCAAGAGCCTGGTTCAAAATTTAAGAAAGGAAAAGAGAGGGCTATAGCTCAGTGAGAAGGCTACGGGTTGGATCCCTGGATCCCCGGTACTCCAAAAGAAAGGAGAAGGGAGGAGGAAATCACAGGTCTTCCACAGAGAGAGTTCTTAAGGCCATTGGAGGGACCAGGAAGGCCCCGGGGCCAGGCTGGTGTGGGTGGCGGCCTGAGAGGCATTGCGCCCAGAATGGAAGCCTGCTGGAGAGGAGCCAGTGGGGAGCCGGTGTTGCTGAGGGGCGGGTGGCTTGGGACTTGGGCAGAGCAGGCGGGTGGCATGGAGGAGAGTGGAGGGGACCGTAGCATGGACACGGGGGAGGTCGCGACCCACAAAGACAGGTGTGTGACATGCCTTGGAGGGCGGGTTGACAGCCCTGGGTTGCAGACCTGGGCCCGAGAGGGGGACGCGCTGGCGAGGATGACGTCCAGGGTTTCAGCTGCTGTGCCAGAAGGCTGAGGCAAGCACAAGTTTGGAAATGGGGCTCAGAAGGGGTGTTCATCGTGAGAAGTCTGGAACATTGAGAGAGAGGCTACCCAGGACACGTCCCAGAGGTCCTGCATCTGCAGATCAAAAGAAATCTAGAGTAGGGCGTGGTGGTGCTGCTGCCCGGGGCTCTGATGCCACCCGCAGATTACTGGCCTGATTGATGAATTTGGGGCCCACTTTTTTAAAGTTTAGAGAATTTGTTAATGATGAGTAGAGTTGTTCCTTAGTTTTGAATTCGGAACAGGTTGGAAATCACCAGTTTATATTTTCTGAGCTATTTAAGATTAAAAGCAGTAAAGAAGTCTGAATACACAAGGGAAACCCGAGGTGGTAGGTCACTATAATCCCAACATCTGGGAGGCTGAGACAGGAGGGTCCCCTCAAGTTTCAGGCTAGCCTGTGCTATAGCTAAGATCAAGACCAGCCTGAACTCTATAACCAGACCCTGTTTCAAACAGAAAAAGAAAGAATACACCAATAAACCTGTAATTTCCAAACAACTCTCTTGAAACTCTGGAATTCCTTTTTTTAATTTCAGTTGTTTGTTTGTGTTTTTTTGTTTGTTTTTTGGTTTTGAGACAGAATCTTGCTATGTAGTTGAGGATGGCCTTGAACTCAGTATGTAGCCCAGGCTGGCCTCAAATTCCTGGCAATCCTCGTGCCTCAGCCTCCCAAGTCCTGGGATGACAGGCTGTGCCACCACGTCCACCTAGAGGGCTGTGTGTTCCTTTGTTCCTGACTCCTTTGATAAGGCCCTGGGCGCTCAGGAGCCCTCCGTTGGTCCACTGCCTCCCAGATTGGGGTTGAAATGCTCCCCAGCCCACTGCTTCCGGGCTAGGGCTCTGGCTCTGAGCCCTGAACCAGTCCCGTGTGGGGTGAGCTTGGACTGGCTCGAGCTCCAGGTCTCAAAGTGCTGCAGGGCCCCAAATTTACGTCCCAAATTCACACCAAGACCCCAACGTTAGAGAAGTCGCCCAGGGTCAGATCCCAGGGCAGAGCTCACAATGGGCGACACTTACTTAGAGGTCACCCTCCCGGCCCTCGTCCTGCATCCCAGAGGTCAGTACAGTCACCAGGCCAGACCCTGAGGTCCTTCACCGAGACCAAAGTTGCCTTCGGTTGTTAGTTGATTACTCATAAAGGTGTATTCATTGCCAGGCATGGTGGTTCACACCTGTTATCTCCTCACTTGGGAGGCTGAGGCAGGAGGATCGCTTGTAGTTCAAGACTAGCCTGGGCTACAGAGTGAGCTTAAGGGCAGCCTGAACTGCATAGTGAGACCCTGTCGCAAACAGAGAAAGAAAAAAAAAAAAGAAGAAAAAAAGAAAAAGAAAAAATAAATAAGGAAAAAAAGAGAAAAAGAAAAGAAAATGTATTTGTTGAAAAGTCTCACTGCGGAGAAGCCCTGCGTGGCGCTTTCCACGGTGCTGAGCGGCGGGGGCTCTGGCGTGGCCCTGGCTGAGTGTCCCTCTTCCTCCCCAGGGGTCAGCACAGAGCTACCCGGCCTGGTGTTCATGGCCCAGGCCGCAAGAGGCTGCTCGCTGGTGTCTGTGCTGGTGACCACGTTGCTGTTGGTGGCAGCTGAAATAGGTGAGCTCCTTCTGTGCGCTGGGGCAGCCTTGGCTCACTGCTGGGTCTCCAATGAGTGCTTTTGGGTGACTGTGGGGGGAGGTCTACAGGAGGTTGGAGCTTATTTCACTTATCCTCACAGGGGTAAAGCTGTCAGGCCCCACATTTCCTCTTAGGGAAGCGGCTAAGGGACCCCGATACATCGGGAATCGCATTTGTATCACAGTCATGGTGCCCACGACAGAGGAATGGTGCCCACTCAGGGGAATGTGCCTCTCCTAAATTCTTGCCTGATATTGGTTTTTTTGTTTTGTTTTGTCTTTTTGAGACAGGGTCTCACTGTGCAGTTCAGGCTGGCCTTGAGCTCACTTTGTAGCCCAAGCTGGTCTTGAACTACAAGTGATCCTCCTGCCTCAGCCTCCCAAGTGCTGGGATGACAGGGGTGAGCCACCACACCCACTCAACACGCCTGACATTTTCTTTGCTGTTTTATTGGAAGCTTATTTTGGGACTCTTAAAATAAAAAGAATCATGAGAGAAGCCAAGATCAAACAAATGCCTAAGATTAGAGATGCCATTTGCACTTTGAAAGTAAAAATGAGAAATGTCACTAAAAATGTTTTTCAGTACTTCTTTTCCTTGATTTAAATAATTACTTTGCCAGTTCCTCTTTACAGTCGTCCATCCCGGCAATCTTAGTGTCATCTGAAACACAGCTTTCAGCAGGAGCTGTTCTCAGCACACCCAAAATTCTGGTGAATCCTTCCTTCTGAGGCTCTTTCTTTGACACTGAGATCACCCACGACTGTTGATTTATGAGTAGCCGGCATATTTTTAATAACTTTTAAAAAGCTTCCAGAGTGAAGCCAGCATCTGTCTTTCAAATAAGGACTTAATGTAGCAGGGGATAGTAAATACTGCGGAGAACACTCACATCTCTGTTAGCCACGTCAGGTACCAGCTTCTCCAGCCCAGTGGCCGGGGTCTCACCAAAACACCAAAGTACAGTGCTGTGAGACCCATCGCTGCCCTGGAGGGCAGCTACAAACATGCCAGACTTTGATTTTTATTTATTTATGTTTGAGACAAGGTCTTGCTCTGTTGCCCAGGCTGGCCTCCAAGTCATGGTGATCCTCCTGCCTCAGCCTCCTAAGTGCAAACCAGTCTTTGCTTGTATGTTCACCTTGCTGTAAAATAATGCTGTAGCTCCTGCAAGGGGGGGGGGTAGGAGTGGGACTGGAAAGCCTCCTGGAGCCACCCAGCTTTCTCGGTCTGAGTGTACAGCGGCCTCCAATCAGACAGAGCAGGGAACCGTGTGCGAACCGGGTGAGACTTCTCTGTGAGGCCGGCTCAGTAGCTATGGAGTGAGCTGGGGTTGGGGGAGGCTGACTTTTCCTGACTCAGCCTCCAGCCTCACCCCGTCACTGCCTTCCCATTTAGCCCTGAGGCGGGTTCACACCAGCTCCCCTGGGATGGATGGGATGGGTTCTCTCCACTGTGCCTCCAGGGACCCTCGGGGATCCTGGGCAGTGGGCGCCTCCTCCCCACCACGCCTTCCCGTGTCTCTCCCCCCAGATCTGTGCAAGCGAGGCGACGTCACTGTGAGACCGGCGCGTGTGGTGGCCCTGGGCTCAGCGGTCGAGGTCTCCTGCAGCCTGAAGCCGGGACAGGGCTGCCAGCGCCACGCCAGTTCCGACAGCCTGGTCCTCTACAGGGTCCGTGGGGACCGGGAGCTCCGGGAAGTAGCTGCCCGCCGCGGCCAGACCCTGAGCCTGCATGTCAGGGACCTGCCCCGGGGCACGACCCTGTTCGTCTGCAAACTGGCCTGCGCTGGACGCCACCAGGCCCGCGTGTGCGGGGCCGAGATCTCCGCAGATGGTGAGGCCCATGCTGGGCAGAGGCCCCGCCCTGCAGGAACAGCCACGCGTGGGTGGGGATGGGAAATCCACAGAACTGGGGGGACTTGTGTTTCTGTCCCCCTCCCATTGCCTCCCTCTCCCCTCTTTGCCTCTTCCTCCGTCTCCCCCTCCCTCCTCCCCTTCCCCTCCCCCCCTTCCTCTTCTCCTCCTCCTCTTCCCCTCCTTCCCCCCTCCCCCTGCCTCTCTTCCTCTTCCCCTCCTCCTCCTCCACTCCCCCTCCCCCCTCTCCTTCCTCCTCCCCCTCCTCTCTTCTTCCCTCCTTCTTGGCTTTCACTCTCTGGCCATTAAAATCATTTACCCGGCATCTCTGACCTTCAGTCACAGGAAGATGGACTTGTGCAGTGGTCACTTAGGGTTGTCCCTCAAAAAAGCAGATGAAAATACATCATCATGGGAGCAAAAGGAGGGTGTAACTATGTGCTGTCAGTCCGCATTGACCCACTGGGCCTGGGCCCATCTACACTGCTGACCCGCAGCCACTAGGAGGGAAAGCCTGCACAGCCAGGGCTGGTGGCTGCATCACCACCACAACCCCAGCTCCCAGGAGGCTGAAGCAGGAAGATCACCAGCTGTTCAAGGTCAGCCTGGGCTACACACTGCATTCAGGGGCAGCCTGCACTGCATAGTGAGGCCCTGACTCAAAAAGTAAGAATACAACAGCAGAAGCGCGGGCCTTGGGTCTCAGCCCCACCAGGCACACTCAGACAGTTAAGCCCTCTGAGCTCCAGTCTCTCCGTCTGTCCATGTGAGGAAGGGGCTGAGTCCCGCTTGAGGGATGCGCTTGTGTGCAAAGCACCCGATCCCGGAGCTGGTTGCGCTGCGCTCCCGCTGGGGCACTGTGTGGAGCAGCATGGTCAGGGCGGAGGTTAAATCTGTCCTGGAGACACCATCGGCCCTTCCGCCCTGCGCGCAGAAGGACACCGGCCACGTGCCCTGTACTCGCATATCGGCGGCCCTGGTGCCTGCGCGTTAGATGCGGGGGTGGTGACCACACAGCCACACGCAGCTCTGAGCAAGGTTAGCAGCTTTGAGTGGAGGCAGTGACTGGAAGCGGGCGGTGTTCTGAGCAGGACCAGTCATTCCAAGAAGAGCTGCGCTGAACTTCGGTTTCGTCCTGTGCACCCAGCTCGGCGTGGGGAGGGAGGGCGGTGGCTGCACGGTGCACCGGGATGTGCACTGCACAAGCTCAGACGGCCGAACTCCCGAGCAGCCGGCATCTTTGTGCCTCTACTTCTGGCTGGTCCTTGGAGCTCGTCCAGGTTGTGCAGAAACTAATTAATCTAAAGAGTCCGTGCACGAGCTTCATCAGGAACCATCCACAGCATGTAGGACATCAGGGCGGTGAAGGACAGATGGGGATTCCTGCTTGCCTGCCCTCCGTGCCGTGGGCACGGGGGTGGTGGGATTTCTGAAGGCTTTGCTTTCTGAGCGTTTCTTTCCCTTGATGAGTGGGGTTTTAAAGCCTGTAGGGCGGCCCCGCTGTGGCTCTGTCCTGTGCTGTTTGTCAGTCCACTGACTCTGGTTTTGCCCTGGGCCCCAGCTACTTGGCCCCTTCACCTTGGGAAGCAGGAGGCCGGGTCCCCTGGGGCAGACCATCTAAGACCAAGCTGAGGCTGGGCTGGGGGAAGCCTGGATTTCATGGGTCCTCGAACTCCCCTGGGGAAAGCTGAGCCAGGATGAAGAAGCCGTGCTCTCCAGCGAGTGGGGTGTTGGTTCTGCTCTGCACAGGCGTGGGTCTTCCTGTCCTGTCTGCTCCGGTCCCAGTGGCCATGAGCCACCAAGAGCAGAAAGGACAGGAGCAGGGGGCAGTGAGTACAGTTCGAAGGCAGAGCACAGCTGGACTGGCAGGGACACAGTGCCCACAGCCAGCCTCCAGACCTTTCCCCTGGCCTTACGCCCAGCAGTGGGTGACACCATGCTGTCAAAGTATACAAAACGGGGGCTCTGGCTGGAGTGGGCGTGAGGATGGCTGGAGTCTCTAGTCCCTGTCACAATGGCCAGCAAAGGCTTGGTGACAGGGCATACTGGCCCATGTCCAGCCAAAGCAGCGCAGGCAGTGCCTCTGAGAAGGGTGTCTATGGCAGCAGCAGGCAGGGCCCAGTCCGGCCTGGAGCAAAACTTGGAGCTACCAGGGCTCCCTAGTATACTCCGCCACGAGCCCCACTGTGTGTTTGCTGACTGACTCTCACATGTGAATAAAATCGGAGTGTCAGGCCCTCATCCACCACGAAGGACAGAAACCAGAGCAAAAGGCAAAAGGCGGCTCACTTGGAGGGGCGGGCTGGGCCGGGGAGCAGGGTCAGCAGGCCCAGGTCAGAAGCCTCCGGACGGACGCCTTACAGGTGAGGAGGAGGGTTCATGTTCAAGGGAGCTGCTCCGTGAAGGAAGAGCTCAGAAGACAGATCGGGCCCCTCAAGCCAAGAAAGAAAGAAAAAGGACAAATAGAAATGGAAAACTCTGAGGAAGCTTTGCCCTGGAAAGTGGAGCAAACAAGAGGTAGAGTTTCAGGTACAGCAGACAAAATGTAAAATCCAGGGAATCCAATCTCTGAAGCTTTCAGAGAGCAGAAAAGAGCGGGAGGAAGCTGAGACATTCAGGATTTCGCAAACTGAGGCCAGGCGTTCCCGTGATGTAGGGGGCCTTTGAGAATCTGGAAGGATGGACAGAGAGACCCTCAGGGAGCACAGATGGGAAGACTGAAGAGTCGTGAAAACACAGGGCAGCAGAGATAGAAGACCCCAGGATCCTCCAAGGGAAAACCACGTCAGTGCCTGTGGCCTGGAGTCTGATGGCTCTAAGCTGTGGAGACCAGCAGTGACTAGAAATGCAAAACGCCTGGGTGATGGCCCTTCCAAGGTGCGATTGTCCAGGAAGCCAGGGCAGTGGAGGCCACGCTCAGAACTTTTCCTACAGAGCTCCTGCAGGATGTGCTCCACCGAGACAAGGGATTAGGTCAGGAAGAAGCAAGCACTGGGTGGAAGGAACCAGAGTCCAACGTGGGAGGGAGGAGAAATAGTGTCTGGGTGCTGAGGATGGTGGTCCCAGAATGAGCCCTGGGGGCCCTGGAGGAAGATCTCGAGGTTGCAGAGAGAGGTCCTCACGTGGATGGACAGAGATGCCCGGGGCATTTAAATGCACTGGTCAGTGACTCAGATGACTGGTTTGAGCATTTTGAGTTACAGCAATCATTAGGAAACAAAACAAGCAGGATGACTGATCACTAACCCCAGACAGTAAAGTAGCACAGAAAACTTGACATCGTATTCTGTGGAGTCAGTCATGAGCAGTATGCATATATGTATGCAGTCATTGTATGTATAATAGTGTGCATGTCAGCTGGGCATGGTGGTGCATGCCTGTCATCCCAGTACTTGGGTGGCTGAGGCAGGAGGATTGCTGCAAGTTCAAGACCAGCCTGGGCTACAAAGTGAGCTCAAGGCCAGCCTGAACTGCACAGTGAGACCCTGTCTCAAAAAGACAAAAAAAAAAAAAAAAAATGCATGTACAAGTATATTTACATGTGTGTACACATTTATGTATGGCATATGGATGTGTTTATATTCCTATGCTTATAAGTTTGCTGCATGCATATGCATGCTTGTACACAGACATAAGGAAAAGTCTGTTATTTTAAGGAAAGAGTTTATTATTCTATTAAATAAAAATGCATGAGCTATCTATTGTTACGCTTGTTTTACAGATAAAACTGCAGCTCTGAGATATTAATTTGTCCGAGGTCATTATTACGCCTATATCTATGGTAGCCTTCTAGGGACAAAAAAAGAGACATCTGTTCCAGCAATCACAAGCCAGGACTGGGGGCACAGGCTCAGCTGCTCTCGCCGGAGCCCGATTCTGCCAGTGCGTAATCCATGGTCCTGGCCGCAGAGCTCCCCTCTCTCAGCCTTGGTTCCCCACTTGAATAACGGTGGTGTCTTATCACCAAGACCTGTGCCTAAAATCCTTAACATGGGCCAGGTGTCCGGCAAGTATTTGATCGTAAACTCACGTCTTGGCAGAAGCTGAGTTTTAGCAAGGTCTGGCAGTGCTTGGAGGTGGGAGGTGGGGTCTCCCCGGAACTGACTGAAATGTGCATTTCCTTCCACAGCTCTGCCAGAGCCGCCTGGGAATGTGTCCTGCGTGCAGGAGGGAGAGCATGGCTCCATCACCTGCTCCTGGAGCACGGGCCCAGCTGTCCACCTGCGCAGGAACTACATGCTGCGGTGAGTGGTGGCCGGGGTCCTGCAGCTGCTCCCCAGGCCCTGGGTGGCACGGGATGGCAGGACTCGGGAGAGGCAGTTCCATGGTCTCCTTCGCAGGCTCCAGGGCCCGGGAAATTCGACGTGGCAGGCGCAGTGCAATGACTGCAGTCACCTGGACCTCGGGATCAGCCTCACCTCTGAGCACCTTGAATCCAGGTTCACGGCCACGGTCACCGTCACCAACGCCCTGGGGAGTTCTTCCTCGCTCCCAGCCCCGTTCAGGCTCCTGGACATAGGTGTGTTTTGGTTCAGCCTTGCCGATATCTCTTGTGTTCTCTAAGTCGATCAAAGCTCCTGTGCACAGCTGCTTTAGGAGGTGCAGAGGTTACCGGGGTGGGGTCTCACTGGAGAACTGGAGCACTGGGCTCTAAACCCCACAAATGCACCAGCTGCCAGAGAGGCCCCAGCCTGGGCAGGGCCCCTCAGGGCACTCGGTAAGCTGGATGAGGCCCCGTGTGTTCCAGGTACCCTTTACCCTGAGGCTCCTCCAGGGCTCACAGGTGTGTGGCCACTGTGTCACATAACCAGGGCAGAGGCATCTTGCTGAGCCCACCTGTCTGGGCTAAGAGCTGCTGTGAACAAAACAGCAAACATTTACATTTCTAAAGATACCGAGCAGTAAAAGACTCACCTCTATGAATCCCTACCCTCATCCCATCGTCCTGCCACCTTCTGCAGCAGCTCTGGAGGCCTCTTTCCCGAAGGTCTTTCCGGGATGGGCTCAAAATAGCCAGTGACTGCACTGCAGAGCACTGTCCAGCAGAGAGGCGGCTCCTTAAACACATGCTGGGTCCTTGTCCACCTCAGTCACCGGATCCGGCACCGGGGGCTTCCGGCTCCAGCTCAAGGTCAGGATGACCAGGAAAGGGAAGCATCTAGAATCCATTCAGGACACTGCGGCAGCCAGAACAGCAGAGCTAAGGACCCTAGGAGAGAGCTCCCCAGAGCCGCTGCAGGACATGGCCGGATGGGGGGATGGGCATGAGCAGGAAGATCAGGAGTGGGATGTCTTTGACCCTGATAATTTTTTTTAATAGGCCCCTGAATCACTGGCCCTGTCAGAGGCCAGTGTTCTGGGCACGCCGACTCTGGACTCCTGCCCCAGAGTGGCAGGCTCCCCTCCCAAGGTCCTCTGTCCCCAAGCAGCCCTGGCCCTACCTGCCCACTGTGTGCCCCGCAGCTCACTCCTGCTCACTCCTGTGTCCCCGCCCAGCTCTAGCCTGGCCGCCACAGGCTGTGTGGCCACTGGGCCCTGGCTCAGCCGCTGTGGGCAGAGGCTGAGTGGGGCGAGCGGAGGAGGCCAAGCCGGCTGCCCTGGAAATGGCTTCTGCCTCTCCACGCACTGTCCGTGGGCTGGGCCTGATGCCACCTGTCCCTCTGTCCCCTTACCAGCAAGGCCGCTGCCTCCGTGGGACGTCCACGTCCAGTTCCTGAACGGCTCCAACAGCCGCTGCCGCCTGCAGTGGAGCAACGAGGCCTGGGTGCTGCTCAGCCGGCTTCAGTACCGGCCCCGAGGCAGCGGGTCCTGGAGGACGGTAACAGCCAAACTTCGGGGGGAGGGGGCCCCATGACTTCTGCCTGGTGTGTACGCAGGATACAGGGTTTAAGGGGTATTTGGTCTGAACTGTACACAGTGACACACACCTCCTGCCTGCACTCGGGAGGCTGAGGCAGGAGGATCGCTGTGATTTGAGGCCAGCCTGGATTATGATGAGAACCTGTCTCAGAAACTACAGGAAAGGAAGTACTTTACTTGTGTCTCTTGTCACATTGTGATTCTTTTAAAACATTAAAAAAAAAAAAAAACCGTATGGGAAAGAGACACATTAGGGAGCGTCCACAAGAGTTACATGAAGCTGGGGCTGGGGATTTAGCTCAGCGGCATTAAGTACCTGCCTTGCAAGCAGGTGGTCATGAGTTCGATCCCCGGTACAGTTAAAAAGGAAAAAGACAAAAAAAAAAAAAAAAAAAAAAGAGTTACGTGAAGCTAGGTATCCCTAAGAAAAGTCTTCATTACATTTTTACAATAAAAATAGAGGAGGATGATTCTTTCCAAAATCTTTATAAATTACATTGGCTTTGATGCTTCAAAGATATACAACTAATATTTTCTGTTTTTTGAGACAGGATCTCACTCTATATGCCAGGCTGGCCTTGAACTCACAACAACTCTCCTGTCTCAGCCTCCCAAGTGCTGGGACCTCAGATGTGCGTCCCCATGCTGGGCTGATATGTTTTTGAAGGCAGTTCGGGGTCTGTGTTAACACATTCATCATGTGCTACTTTCATCCAAATGAAAAATAATCATTACGATGAAGAGAGTCTCCGCCTGGAAACTTTTGCACGTTGAATGTTAGTTTCCAGCCTCACTTATGTTCCCGCTGCCTGAGCCCCTGCCGGCTCTCCCAGCTGGGGAGGTTTCAGCTGTTTTTGAGAGAACCGGTTACTTTAGGCTAACACCATCGTGTCCTGCACCGGCCCCTGATGTTTCTGCAGAAGCAGTGTTTGGTCAGGCTGGGCTCCCCATGGGTTAAAATCCCCTCTGCTGGAACTCTCTTCCTAGCTAGGCCTGAGGCACCGGATCTGGCCCAGAGGACCCTGGTGCGCCCCTTTCGGGTGCACAGATGTGGCCTCTCGGTTTAAAAGACCAACTGCCCCCCCAGGTCAACATGACGGACTCCCCAGGGAGACATGACCTGTGGCACCTGGCACCCTTCACGGAGTACGAGTTCCAGGTTTCCTCGAGGCTGCACCGCTCCCAGGGAGGCTGGAGTGAGTGGAGTGAGCCGCTTTGGGCACGCACGCCGGAAGAAGGTGCGTGGCTGGCGGAGGGCCGGGGGGCAGCAAGACAGTGATGGATAGGGGGATGGTGACCTCCGGGGCAGAGAACCCCCCCAGGTGTGAGCAAATCCATTTGCAAGTGATTTGTGAGCCAGGAGTGGTGGGTTTTCATCAGAATGCTCGGGAGGCTGAGGCAGGAGGATCATTGCAAGTTTGAGGCCAGCCAGGGCTACATAGTGCAGTCCAGCGTGAGACCCTGTCCCACCCCATCCCTGGAAAAAAACCTCACCTAAGGCTGATGAGTGACCTCTCTGGTGATAAAATCTCCTCCTTCCATGCTGGCCTGCTTGCTTTCTGCAGATTGGTTTCACCCTCCAGGGCGGGTTCTCACTCTCTCTCCCCTCCCTAATCACAGTCTTGTGTATGCGGTTAGAGCCCTCCTGTTTCAGTTCTCACCTGGCTTCCCTTTTCAGCTCGTGCCTGGATTAAAGCCCTCCAGGCAGGACAGCCAGGTGGGCGGTGGCCCCAGGAGGAGGCAGAGTCAGGCTGCTCCCTGAGGCTTCCTCTCCCTTTCTCTGCTCTCTGCGGTCCTGGTTCCCCTCTTGGGCCCTGTGGTTTCTACCCCCACCCCATCCGTCCTCCCCCTGCGCCTGCAGGTGTGAAGTCTCTAACTGGCCCCTTAACCCCTGAGAGGCTCCTGCAGGCAGAAATCACCAGCATCTGTTCTGGGGGACCAGTTTCTCTCCACTGCAGCTGCCGAACCCACGGGAGGGTGGTGTGGCTGTGGTGGCCTGAGGTCATGGTCACCCCAGTGGGCAGGGAAGGGCCGCTCCAGGTGACCTTCATCCTCTGGGTGACCTCCAGGAGAAAGGGAGGTGGCCTGAGGGCAAGGATGTCCCCTCCTCTGCGGAGGTGGGGGGTCTTCTTTCTCCTCTTGTTTTGTTGGTTTCTGTGGTACTGGGGCCTGAACCCTGCCTCTTCCGCTACATGCCTGGTCCTTTGGTTTTTAACTTCTCATTTTGAGGCAGGGTCTTACTGAGTCTCCGTGTTGCCCAGGCTGGGCTTGAATTTGAGTTCTCCTGCCTCAGCCTCCAAGTGTTAGGATCACAAGATGTACCCCGTTGGAGAATTGTTTTGTTTCTTGTTGTTGTTCTATTGTGGGTTCTTTTTTTTTTTTTTAATCTTGAGTTTTTGAGACAGGGTCTCACTAGGCAGTCCAGGCAGCCTTGAGCTCACAATGTAGCACAGGTTGGTGATCCTCCTGCCTCAGCCTCCTGAATGCAGGGAACACAGGCATGCTCTGCCTAGCCGTGCTCGATCTGAAGGAACCTGGGTGTTAGAGGTCCCAGGCTGAGCTGTGTGGACCTTGGACAGCACAGCCTCCAGGACGGGAGGAACACAGCTGCTACTCAGGCTGCCAGGCTGCTACAGTACCTGTGTCGTGGCCCCAAGTGGCGAAGCCACTGCTCCATGGTGCCACCCTCCCCGTAACACGGAGGGACAAGGCACTGTGTCCCCTTGAGCACTCAGCATCCTGAGTCCTGTGAGCCTCAGACACTGCTCTGGGGCTGCCTCTCTGCCCACTATAGCCAGCTTCACGCTCTCCACAGAGCGAAGCCTTTCCTGAGCTTTCTACTTCGGTCCTCCCGGCTTGATGACGAGCCGAGCTGTCATCTGCCAATCACTATGGATTGGAAGCGTGGTAGTGCATGCCTGTCATCCCAGCACTCTGGAGGCTGAGGCAGGAGGATCACAATGAGTTCAAGGTCAGCCTGGGCTACACAGCAAGGCCCTGTCTCAGAAACACAAGCATGCAAAAATGGAATCACACAGGCTTTCTTTGAGTTGTTTAAAATCAAATACCCCATGCCCAAACGAAAGGAGCGTTAATACTCTGTAAAGGTAAAGTTAGGGAAACAATTTCCTCCTCAGTGTTTTTAAAACTTTTGAGATCACCTTGCTTTTTCTGACCTTTTGGCCAAAGACATCCACACTTGTTGTTAAACAGTAGAAAGCGAGAGGTTGGCGTGTGGAGAGCCAGCACCGAGCCAGGCTGTACCCTGGCTGCCAGCAGTGAGGTCAGGACCCCCCCGGTCTTCCTGAGGCCACAGGTAACCTGAGCTCTCCTCCCTGTGGCAGAGCCCACAGGGACACTGGACGTGTGGCTCCGGACCTGGCCTGCGGACGGTGACCAGCGGGTCTCCCTGTTCTGGAAGGTGAGTGGGGCCTGTCACCCACCTCCGCCCATCTCCCCACACGAGGGTTCCAGCAGTGACCATGCTATCCATTTGTTCACTCTTCAGTCAAACCCACAGGTGTGGAAATTCGAGGTGTATTTTCTGCAGTCACTGAAGGCACAGGCTATGTATAATCCACCCACTTGTGATCCCAACTACTCAGGAGGCCGAGGCAGGAGGATCTCAAGTGGGAGTCCAGCTTAGGCAGCCCTGTCTCAAAATAAACTGGGAAAGGCTGAGAGGCAGCCCTGTGGCTGAGCCCTTGCCTGTGTGCGGGGTTCACACCTGGCTTCCCTTGCAGCGCCCCACAGAGGAGCCAGGACACCCCTGGGAAGCCCCAGACAAACCCATCGAGCGAGAGGGGACAGGTGTGTCCCTGGGTGTGCTCACCCATGTGGACCCGAGTGTCAGGATGTGCGTGTGTGGGCAAGGTGTAGGTGTGAGTGCAACCCCTGCTCCGTTGCTGTGCTTTCGTGTGGTGACTCAGTTTCTCCAGCCAGCGCCCCTCCTAGACTTTCTCTTCTGCACCCTGCTCCTGTGAGCAGAGAAAGTTGGGTGTTTTTTTTTTTCTCTTTAATCAATACCGAGACTCAAACTTGGGGCCTTGCGCTTGCCCAGCTGGGAAAGTGGAGCCAAAATTGTGACTTAACTTGGAAAGGGACCCAAAGCCACCCGGGCCAGGTGGTGCTGCAGGGCCGCATGGGCGGCATTCATGCCCACTGCTGCCCCGGCACAAGCACCGAGGTATACATGGCCCCGCTCCCCTGGCCTGGGGACATCCCTGCTCCACAGGTGCACTGCGAAAGCAGGGGCTCTGAGGACGGCCGGGAGCCTGGTTTTTCTGGTTTCAGTTTTTCTGGGTTTTAGAGACAGGCCCTTGGTCTGTAGTCCAGGCTGGCCCCAAGCTCACTGTGATCCCCCTTAGCCTCCTAAATGCCTCCAGCAGAGCCAGGAAGTGATGCATGGGTGAGGACTGGGGTATCCCCATCTCCCTGGGCAACGATGCGCTGACCACAGACAGACCAGGTTCCTACGCCAAGGTGAAAACATCAGTCAGGAGCTGCTGAGGACAGCAGATAGCTGGGGCAGCAACCCTCAGAGAGGTGCTGTGGCATTATCAGCACTTGGGAGGCTGAGGCAGGAGGACTGCTCGAGCCCAGAGCTCAAATCGAGGCTAGCTTATACAACACAGTGAGACCCTGTCTGCAAACAAAAACACTTTAGGGCTGGGGTTGCTGAAACCATCACCAGATCCACAGACTGGCTTCTTTTCTGTGATGCCTCCTCCCTTTGCCCAAGGGATGTTAAAAAGTACACTGGACGTGGAATTCTTCTCAGTGGACGAGTGGGAGCTGGAGGCTCTGCACAGCCACTGGGCTCCACAGGATTCCAGGAACCGGGCTGCAGGGAGCTCAGGGGCCTGAGGTACCAGGCTCTGCCCCGAGCAAGGCTCAAAAATGAAAAGAATTCTTTGTTCTTTTTTTGAAACAGGGCCTCACTGTGTAGCCCAGCCTGGCCTCAAACTCGTGGAGATCCTCCTGCCTCAGCCTCCTGAATAGTGGGATGACAGGTGTGCGCCATGCCGCCTGGTAAAAAGATTTAAAAATACTTAGTGCAAAATGAACTAAAGTCAGCAGCATTCAAAACGCAAATCAAAAAAAAAGTGAAGCAGGGAGGAACAGAATAGCTCCAATCCTCCTGCCACCCACCCCGGGTGACACAGGCTGCGCTGTGGAAGTGAGGGGGCTCTGAGGACGGCTGGGAGCCTGGCGCTGGCCCAGGTACCCTAAAGTCCCTGGTTCCCGGTTCCTGGGTTCCCCTCCTGGGGATGGTGGGCCACCCGAAGACGTGTTTCCTCTTGCAGCCACCAGAGGGTGTGCCCCGGCCAGCAAAGGGCTGAAAGTTTCCCTCAAAAGCTTCCCTAGCCAGGGTGTGGTGCTGCAGGGTGGTAGTCCCAGCATGGGAGGCTGAGGCAGAAAGATCTCTATGGATTCAAGGCCAGCCTAGGCTACATAGTGACACCTTGTCTCACACGTAAACAAAAATGAAGCTTCCTTATTCACATGTTGCCAGGTGCTCTGACCAGGAGTTCAGATCCAGGTGGGGTCTCCTGGACCCAAAACTGTCCCCAACAGTGATTGGCATACACCAAGCTCAGGGGAAATACGAAAAGCTGGGTGCACGTGGCTCAGTCTCAGCAACGTTGCCGCTGCCATGCCGGCCAAAGCCTAAGCCAGTGCAGGGGCCAAGCTCTCCCGGGTACTGCTTGTCTGATAATCAGGAGGCCAGTTAACTCACTAAGTAGCAAAATACAAACATTAAGTAGCCAGATGTTTATGGTGGCCCAGCACGGGACCCTGACAGGTAAAATTAATACAGAATGGGAGCCGGGGGATCGTAAGGGCTTTTATTTTATTTAGGTTTTGGTTTTGGTGTTTTGAGACAGGGTTTCACTGTGTAGCCCAGGCTGGTCTCCAACTCACAGTGATCCTTCTGCCTCAGCCTCCCGAGTGTGACAGGTGGGCACCACTATGCTCAGCAAGATGACAACAGAATCACTGGTTTCCTCCTTCCTGGCCGGGACTGTTCCCAGGAAAGCCCCACTGGAACTCCTGCTGTTCTGGTCCCTGAGAGCTTAGAGTTCTGAGCTGCTGCCTGGATGTGGCACAAGGTGCAGATTCAACTCACCGAGTGCTGAAGTCGCTCTAGGGGCACCAGAGGTCGCGTGTGTTGTTCTAAGCGGCACCGTGAGGTCCGCAAACTTAGACAACAGGACCCAGCTGGGAGGGGCCAAGTGCCGGCTCCTGGCAGGGCTGGCGTCCAGACCCATGTTTGGACCCTACTCTGTGACTGAGCAGGTGCCATTTAAGAGCAAAAAAAGAATTACTGTGTTTTTAAAACTTGTTTTAGCAGGGTGTGGTGGGGCACACCTATGACCCCAGTATTCAGGAAGCTGAAGCAGGATTATCTCAAGGACACCTTGGGCTACAGAGCAAGACCCTGTCTCAAAAAAAAAAAAAAAAAAAGTTGTATTTTAAAAACATTAACTGCTTTGTTTCCAAATGGGTGGGGAGCACTAAAGCAATCAGCAGAGGTGTGGTGTCAAATGAAATGTCCCTGATGTCACGGTCACCACCACGGCCAGGCACAGAGCCCTCTGCAAGCTGAGTATCTCCCTGCAGAGTCTGAGAACTGCGCAGGCCAGAGGGGAGATCCTACACTACCAGGTCGACCTGCAAGAGGCGATGGGGAGGACGCCCACACTGCGGAACGTCACGCGAGACACCTCCTGGACCTGGGTCATCCCCCGCACCGGGGTGTGGACAGCAGCCGTGTCCGCCATCAACTCCAAAGGAAGTTCCCGCCCCGCGCGCCTGGCCCTAGCGGATCCATGCAGCACAAGTAGGTCACCTGCACTGATGTCACTGTGCCCTCTCCCAAACAGCTGGCTTTTCCAGGTCTCCTGTGGGCAGCTGCAGACAAGGAAATTATTACCCGTGCCCCTCAGTCCCCCACTCTAAAACAGGAATTGGGTCACCTGTCCTGCAGCATCGTGACACTGCTGCCTGGCGGGGGCTTACAAAATATCAATTGGGAGAACATCTGACCCATGAAATTGAATATTGCGCTGGGCCTGTGGCACACACCTGGCATCCGAGCCCTTAGAATAGGCTGAGGCAGGAGGATCGCTGTAAATTCCAGCCCAGGATGGGTTACAGAGACCCTGTCTAAAAATAAAGAGGAAAGAAAAAACAGGAAATAATGAGTGTTGGAGGAATGAGAACCCACGTTACCCTCGTGAAAGTGTCAGCTGGTCGTTCCCGTGTGTGTGCATCTACGCATACATGTGGGGATCTGTTTACCTCCGCAGAGTTGAGCGCGAGCCCAAGGCCGCTATGCATGCTGAGCATGCGCTCTCCACGCTCGGTGTAACTGGCCGAGCACGAGCCGGTCCGCAGTATCGCGAGAACGCTCATGTGACTGCATTCTGAGCATGCGCCACTGAGGCTTCCTGCGCAGGTGCACAAGCTCAGGGTTGGCACGTGGCCGCGCACGGACAGGGACAGGGTTGCTAGACGCAGCATGCAGGGGCAAGGCCGGAAGCCCGCTGGGAAACACGCCAGGGCGGGAAAGGTCCAGGAGCGCTTGGTCCAGGGTCCCGTATTTCTGGGCGACGCAGTGCATGTGCGAGGCTACACAGGTCATCCGGTCTCGCCTGGGGACGGGACTGGATCAGGCCGGACGCCCGTCCCCCACTCGGCTGTGCCCTTCTGCACTCTGACTTACTCCCTTCGCTGTGTCCCCTGAAGGGTCCCTAGCTCCTGCCCTGGTCTCCACGAGCACGCAGGACGGGGACCGCATCCTGGTAACCTGGCAGCCTCCGGGGCGCAGTGGCCCCGCCGTGCAGCAGTACGTGGTGGAGTGGACGGCGCTGGCTGGGCACGGCTCCCGGGCTCCCCCGAGCTGGCTGCGGGTACCCCCCTCCGGCAGGTCCGCTGTCATCTCAGGTACAATTGTCGCCTTGCCCCCAGGGGCCCCAGGGTCGTGTTCACTCAGGGTGCTGCAGCTGGGGACCCAGCACCTGGCTTCTTTTATGGGAGAGAGGCAAAGCCCTAACAGCAGTGTGAACAGCAATGTCCTCGAGTCCATCCCGACAGCACTGCATGAGGAGTGTGCGGCTGGACTGACCCCGACCCAGCTTCAAAGGCAAGAATCCGGGTGTGGCAGCGCACGCCTGTGCTCCCAGCACTCTGGGAGGCTGAGGCAGGAGCATGGCAAGTTCAAGCCCAGTCTGGCCTCTTTATGCACCAAGAAATGCAAAAGGGGCCAGGGATTGTTGTAGCTTGACACAACTGATGCTTGAGCCCTGCATTTAACTAGTGCCCTGGGTTTGACCTAGGAAAATGGAAAATAACTTAGGGTGTAAGTCCCATTAGAAAAGCAGGATGCGCTGTACCTATAGGAGAAAAATTTATCTGCTCAACAAAAGAAGCAGGGTACAGGTGTTAGCCAAAACTTAACATAAGATTGTAGCTAATTGTTTCCCACAGGACATCTTTCTGTGGTTCTCCATAACTTTCCAGTTTGGGACCACTCATTGAGACTGAAATGGCAGGGGCGGGGTGGTCTGTAGACGAGTGGTCCTGGGCTCAGCTAAGTAAATTTCAGATTTATCAATCTGGCCGCTTGGATTCCCATGTTGTTTATAAACGCACTCCAAGGATGTCGCCTATTCCAGAGGCCCTGGGTCTGGTCCTCAGTACCTCGAGGAGAAGCAAAAAAGGACAAGCCAGGCTCAGATGCAGCAACGAGGGAGGAGATGGAGTTGAGATGGAGGCACCAGCCTGACTTGCAGAACTGCTTTCCTTGCAGAGAACACGGAGCCCTACGTATGCTACCAGGTCCGCGTGTACGCGTTGTCGGGGGACCTCAGTGGGTGCAGCTCTGTCCTGGGTGACTCCAAGCATAAAGGTGAGCTGAGCCGGCTGCCTGCTTCTCCATGAGCTGGTGCCCCAGGGAGACCCAGGCTCACAGGGTGACAGAGCCGCCCTGTCTTCCTCTCAGCCCCGCTGAGCGGCCCCCACATCGAGGCCATCACCGAGGACCAAGGGCATGTCCTGGTGTCCTGGAGCCCTGGCCCGACCCTGGAGCAGGTGGGCTGTGTCCTGCGCCTCAGGATCTACTGGCAGGAACAGGACTCCAGCGCCCCGCCCGGGCTCCAGGGTAGGTGTGTGGTATCGAGCCCGGGACCTCAGTGTGCACACTGGGGAACCCTAGGTTGGCCATCCCTGGCCTTTCTCCTCAAAAGGGATAGAGTGCATTTAAGCAGGGGTGACCCTGCCTTCTCCACGGTGACCCCACAACATTGGTCTAATGCTGGTCAACGCTGCCTGCACCCCGGGGCCACCTGCAGCTAATGTCCCCCTGCTGGGGCCAAGCTGCCTCCTTCTCTTTGGGCAGCCACAGCCACACTGCCCTCTTCCATGTGGAGGTCTGCATGAGTGTGTCACACACCAGCAGCACTTCGCCCTGGCTTGGCACAGTGGCCTGAGTGCAGAAGCTCTCTCAAATGAGTGTCCTCATACCTGCTGTGAGGACAGGAGACAGTTCTGATTCTCTCTCTAGCGCAATCACTGAGCTTGAGGGACTTTCATGGGCAGAGGAAGCTGGGAAAGTCCCCCCAGACCCTCCCCTCCGGACCAGAAACACAGCAGTGGCTGTGACAGCGTGGCTGAGTGGCCCAGGATGGGCGGGTCCTTGCTGGGTCCCTGAAGGCTGCGCAAACAGGAAGCAGTTGTGGAAGGCCTGTCCCTCCCTACTAGGATGAACGCTTTGGTTTTTGAGATTAGGTTAAGGTCAGCCAGGGCTACACAGTGAGTTCAAACCTAGTTTGAGCTGCATAGCAACACTTTGCCTCAAAAATCCAAATAAATAAGCTGGGCATGGTGGTGCATGCCTGTCATCCATCCCAGCACTTGGGAGGCTGAGGCAGGAAGACCGCTGTGAGTTTAAGCCAGCCTGCACTGCACAGTAAGACCCTGTCTCAAAGAAACAGACATAAAATAAGTAAATAGATGAGGGGTTTTTTTCCTATGGTTTTGGGGGCTGGGAATTGAATTCACAGCCTTGCTTTTGCCAGATGGGCGCCTATATTGCTAAGCTGTGTCGTCCCCCCCACCCCCAACAGCTGATCGATTGCTAAATGACCCCTAAACAGCCAGCGGTACAGCTTTCACCCTCAGCAAAGGAAGCGTCACCGAGTTAAAGCACACAGAGGCTGATGTTAAACCACTTCCTTTGAAGCTGCTTTGTTCCCTGTTGGTTTCAGAGGTGTCCCCCGGGCGTGCCCAGAACTCCTACGCCCTCCCGGGCCTGCAGCGCCAGGTGCCCTACACGTTGTGGATGACGGCGCTGACCGCGGCGGGCGAGAGCCCCCCGGGGAACCAAAGGGAATTTTTCCTGCGAGGTAAGCGAGGTCCTCAGCTCCTCTGTCCCCTGCCTGAGGTCCACGTGTCCCCTCTTTGGGAGGCGGGGTCCGTGTCCTCCCCGGGAGTCCTCTGGAGTGTGTACCCCTTGTCCTCGGAGCTCCCCCAGGGCTGGGACTGCACCGGGAGCACAGGCTGGGTGTCACTCTAGGAACCCGGGGCCCGTCCCTCCTGCAGTGCCTAGGGGTCAGCTTTGCATGGCTGGGCTGCTGCAGGAAATGACTTACACCGGGTGGCTCACCGTGTTTCCTGGCTCCTAGTCTGTTCCACGTATGTGTGACTTTGATTTCCAAGACAAGGTCTCACTATTAGTCCAGGCTGGCCTTGAATTCATGGCAGTCCTCCCCCTCAGCCTCCCAAGTGCAGGGATCACAGTGTGCGCCACCGTGCCTGGCACCAGCCTCACCTTCAGACCCAGTGCCTTTTCCCCTTCCTGAGCCCTGTGAGGTGGCCACCATGTTGACCTTGCTACCTGTGTGCACGGTGCCCTTCCCTGGGCCTGGCCTCGGGCACGCCTGTGGCACGGTGGTTTCCTGCTTGCACACATGCACACCTGTTTCTTGCACTGCATGTGTGGCTCCCCAAGACAGAGACATCCACATCCCCCTTGTCTTCGTGTCTCAGTGCCTGGCAGGGCCTGCCTGCCAGGTCGCGTGCAGGAAACTGGCTGAGTTAATGAGAAGCCCTCACCTGGGCCGGCCGCCGGCTTCCTGGGTCCCTGGACGCCTGGACCCCAGCCTGGTCCCCCCTTAGATCTGGATGCCCCCCCCCCCCGCCTCCTGAGCTCCAGGCAGGGTTCAGGGAAGGGGTAGACTGCGGGGCTCCTGCCCCCGGCCCTGTCTGGGGCTCATATGACAGTGCTGCTGTTGCAGGGGGAGCTAGCTGGATCTCCGTCCTGGTGCCCAGCGCCTGTGTGGCTGCTGTCACTGTGGGTGTCCTCTCCACCCCCTGCTTTCGGCAAAAGTGAGTTGTCTTTCTGTCTGTTTGTGACATGGTCTCCTTATGTAGTCAAGACTGGCCTCCAACTCTGGGCAATCCTCCTGCCTCAGCCTCCCGAGTGCTGGGATTATAGATGTGCACCACTGTGCAATACAAGAAAAAATACACTGCTTTACAAGAAAAAAAGCCCGGCTACTTTGTCCTTTAACACAGGCTTTCTTTGGAGGCCACATAAAGTTGTAAAAGAGTTGGAATAAAAGCCGAAAGCTGCTCCAGCAGCCAGAGCCCAGGGCGCCGCCTTGTTTGTGGGAGACCTGCCTGCGGCAAGGACTACAGAGTTCGTGTCACCACAGCGCTGACAAAATTGAACCCAGAGTCATTGGGGTCACCCTTGCCCTTTGAGAACACTATTTAAAAAGTGAAAGAGCTGGGGCTGGGGATTTAGCTCAGCGGCATAAGCGCCTGCCTTGCAAGCAGGCAGTCGTGAGTTCGATCCCTGGTACCGATAAAAAGAGGGGAAAAAAAAGGAAAAAGACCAAAAAAAGTGAAAGAGCCAGGTGTGGTGGCACACACCTGTGGTCTCAGCCCTCAGGAGGCTGAGGCAGAGGATCACTTCAAGCCCAACCTGGGCTACACAGTGAATTCAAGTACACAGTGAGACCCTGTCTCACAGTAATAATGAATCAATTCTCTCCCCACTGTTGGTACCATGTCTTGTACCAACCCTGCCCCGCCCAGCAGTGGTTTCTGTGGAGAGGGTCCCCAGAGTCAGGCGGGTCACCACACCAGGTGCTGTCGCCAGAGGAGCCTTGGTAGCGAGGGGCCCACACACGACAGTCTGAGTCCCCAGGACGTGAGCCAGCCTCATGGGCCCTCCGCTTTGTCACCCGCAGGATACTGGTCCTGCTCTCCATCCTCAGGCCACAGTGGTGCAGCCCAGGGATCCCAGACCCAGCCAACAGCACTTGGGCCAGGAGGTTCCTGCTGGGGGAGGTAAGGGCGTGGTGGCACAGGATGTCACCTCCAGTCTCCTTGTGGCTCCCACCACCACTCCAGACCTAGGAAGCCAGATACGGTGGCACACATCCAAAACTCACACACCTGGGAGGCTGAGGCAGGAGGTCTCGCAAGTTTAAATGTCAGCAGTTACCCCAGAGCCCAACCCCTTAACCCCATTCCTGGTACCTGCTGGCCAGAGCCTTGGTCCCCAGTGACCAGGAGTCACCAGCAGTTCCGAGACAGCCAGCCCTCCTGCCCCTCAGCCCAGAAAACATCCACTAGGACCAAGCGCGCAAAGCCTCTCCCAGCCCACACCCCCACAGGGAGGCAGCCTTGCCTGCTTGCAGCCTAGAACATTCCGCTGGAGGACTTGGGGTGCCCTGGCTCTCCCGTCTCTGCCTCCCCAGCCAGTATTCTGTTTTGAGGTACCAAGGGTGCACCCAGGGCCTTCACCCTCACTTCCCTCACCCTTTTTCTTTTTTTTTTTTTTTTTCGGTACTGGGGATCAAACTCATGACCTCGCACTTGCTAGGCAGGCGCTTATGCCACTGAACTAAATCTCCAGCACTCCCCTCCCACCCCTTTTTATTTTATATTTTGAGACAAGATCTTGCAAAATTATCCAGGCTGGGTTTTTGAACTTGGGATCTTCCTGCCTCAGCCTCCTGGAGTGCTAGAATGATGGGTGTGTACTACCACGCCAGCCTCTGACGAATGCTAAGGAGGGTCCCCAGGGCCAGCAGAGTCCTCTGCACTGGGGCCTCCAGCTGTGTCCTCTTCCTTATCCTTCACAGGAGAGGACACCACTGCCAGTGGATGGGACACAGGTGGCCATGTACCCCCCAGAAGAGCCTGAGCCCCTGGTCATCAGCGAGGTTCTGCACAGAGGTCCCCACTGGCCTGAGCAGGGACAGGGAGGCCGAGGTCACTTGGCCTGCACTGAACATCCTGGGGACAGAGGGTGCAGCCCAGCACCTGCAGGAGCTCTGTACAAGGTGCTGGGGGGCCAGGGTGGGGAGCCAGCACATGGGGTGACACTCCCGGGCCCCGACGGCTACCTACCCTCCGGCCCAGGGGATGCAGCCACCCGAGGGTCCCCACTGCCTGAGCCGGTGGAAGAGCTGGGGCCGCAACACGTGGCTCTCTCAGTCTTCACCACCCACTCTCTGCACCCGCTCAGTGTGGCCTGCGGCCCCAGGCTGACCCTGGATCAGCTGAGGATGGGCTGTGATGCCCTGGTGCTCTGAGCCTGCCCAGGGGAGCGTCCCCACGTGCAGGGGCAGCCTTGATGGCTTCAACTCTACATAAGGTGGGCACCAGCTCACCGCACAGACCTCGCCTCCAGCCTGGGCTCCTGGCTGTGGTGACAAGAAAGGGGTGACGAGGGGACAGAGTGGAGAACAGAGCCTGACTGTGGGAGGAGCCGGCATCAAGCATGCAGCAACCAGCTGTGGCCTCAGACTGGCCACAGTCCTCCTGCCTCAGCCTCCCAGCACTGGGACACAGGCCGCTGTCAGGTGCCTTGTAGACGGGGTGAGATTGAACCCAGGGCCTCGTGCCCGTGCGGCCAGTGCTGTGGCATCAGCTGCATCCGGCCACACCACAACCCTGGAGAGAAAGCAGCCAGAGCCTTGGCTGTGCTCAGGACAGAGCCCGCCCTCTGCTGACTGTGACAGGGACCGTGGCAGCCGAAAGGGAAAGACTGCGCCCTCCTGACCTCACCGCATCCATTCAGGCGCACAGCCGGTTCCCTGCTGAGGCGGCCCCAGGAGTACTCCTCCTTCCCCAGTCAGCCTGCTTCCCAATGCCCACATTTCCCACAGCCAGCGGCCACCAGGGGGCGCCCTGGGCACAGTGAACACCATCTGGCTCCTCTGTGCCCCAGGCCCTGGCTAACCCTGTCCAGGTGAGGTCAGGCCTCCTCCTGGTCCTGCCTGGGTGCCCTCAGCTCTCTGGCTGCTCAGAGAAGCCGCTGCCTGGGTTTCATAAAAGTCAGCTTCCTGGGCCGCGGGTTGAGCTCAGCGGTGTGAAGGCCTGCGTGGCCGGTGTGAGGTGGTGACAAAAAATGATCTTTAAATCCACTTCCCCTTTTGATTGCGCCTGCACAACCAGCAAGCAGTCAGCCACCCTTGTGCAGCAGAGCGGTCCCCTGATCAGTTGCACCCGTCTCTAGTTTGATGACAAGAGAAATGGCAGAGGGGTTTCCTCTGAGAACCGTGTGCTCCTGAAGACCGCGTCTTCCCCAGTGTCGTCTCCTAGTATTGGGTTTGTGGTGTTTTGGGTTTTTTGAGCCAGGTCTCACTGTGGCGTTCAGGCTGGCCTCACAGTCAGGGTGCTCCTCCTGCCTCAGCCTTCCCAGTGCTGGGCTGACAGATGTTCGCAGCACAGCTGGCTTCCCTTGTGCTGTTTTACCCTCTTTCTGCTGTGGCTTCCAGCCCTAGCACTGGGCTCTTGCAGGCCGCCGGGCCCCCACGCCTGTCCTGGAAGGTGATCTACCAGACAGTGTGACCAATGCCGCTCTCGGAGGCGCAGACACCATGGCAGAGGCGTGCATAGTACATCTGTGGGGTCCCCTGGGCACACCTGTGATTGACCAGCATGCACCTGCTGTAAAAAGTAGCCCATATCCCAGGCTGCCCGTGCCGCCCTCAGCTTCCTCACTCAGGCTGCTGTGTGTGTGGGAAACCCGTCTCTAGCCCCAACTGGCCTCAGACGCTTGGGGACCCTCCTGCCTCTACCTCCCAGGTGCTGCCTCCGGGTATGCTCCCCACATTGGCGAGGAGCTCTGGATTTAGATTGAAGCACGAGAAGTGGCACACTACATGGTGAGCACGCTGAGGCCAAGGCCTGGGCTCTGTTTTCATGGGCAAGTCCCGTGCTGCCCACTGCTCCATCTCCAGGAAAAACCTGCCGACCACCGCCTGGCCCGGAATGTCCATGTCACCCGCCCCGGGGCCGACCTGATGGGGCACTTTGTCTGCTTGTGTGATTTCCTCTCAGAACCCCTTCCCTGCCCTGACACGTGGACACCTGCAACAGGTATCAGGGTGTGGCTGCAGTGGGTGAGGGGAAGGACACCCAGCCCCACGGCCATGAGGATCGTGACACCTGTGACAAAGGGCTGGGCAGTCAGATGGCAAGGATGAGATCAGTCTGAGATATCACACAGCGCCGTGCCAAGTCATCAGGCTGAGGGCCCGGCAGGCCACCAGATGACCGGGGCAGCAGCCCGCCCTGAGCAGCACTGTCCACGGCCCCACTGAACTCCAGGACAGCATGGGGACTGTCCCACTATCTGGAGGGCCAGGCCAGGGTGCTTGTCCCCCTCAGGGCGTAGGGCCACTGTCCTCCTGGCCCCCAGATGGGCAGCAAGGCCAGGGGTCAGGACGGCACAGCGTGATACTCCACAGCCCAAGGATACCCCATCCTCTTCTGGTTCCCCTTCCCCTGGGAAGCAGAGTCCAGCTCCAGGCTTGGTTTAGGTTTTCCCACCAGGTGAGGTTAGGGTTCAGTCCCACCAAAGCAGCAGCCATGGGAAGACCTGGTGAGTGCTGCTGGACAGGATGGTAGCTGTCAGGGTGTCCCCCAGAGCAGCCCTGCTCTCCCAGGAGGCTGCGCTGGTGCCTCCCCTCCCCCTGCAAAAGGTCTCCCTGGTTCCTTTATGGTGTCCTAAAGGCAGGGTGCATGGACCTGTGTCCACAGTGGCCCAGGAGCCACTGAGGCGGGCATCGGGCTTCCTGTTGGCCTGAAGCTTGGGCAGCTCTCCAAGATAGCCATGCTTGGCGCAGGGGTGCAGACACCCCAACCCACTCTCACACTCATGTGCCTCCCAGGAAGCTGGGTGGGCTGTGTGTGGCCCACCGGGCTGTTGGTGGCTTGGGTCCTGCAGTCAGGCTCAGTGCTGTGCCCCTTCTCGAGATCCCCAGACCTATTCCGCTCAGGTACCTCATCCTGGGTTCAGCCAATTTCCACGTGAACATTGAGTATCTCAATATGAGGACACGGAGCTGCCCAGGAAGGCCAGGACCAAGGCGTGGCCAGTCAGGTCAGGGGTGCACAGCTCTGCAGGTGGGGTGAGGCCTGCGAGTCCAGATATCACCAAGAAACTCATCCAGGACAGGGCAGGGCCAAGATCCACGTGGCCTGGCCCAAGTTGGGTGCCCCCTTTCTCTTTGTCCACCCTGAGCAACAGCACCCCAAAAGGAATTGCACTGTCAGGTGTAAGCAGGGTCAGGAGGCGAGATGGGGAGCGGAAGACCTGCTCATGCAGGACAGAGGGATTTGGGGTGGGGGGTAAGGGCCAACTCCAGGGAACCCTGTGCAAGGCACCCCCCACCTGCCCTGCCCCACAGCTCACCACTGCTTACTGTGTGGGCGGGGTCCAGGCCACACAGACCCAGCCCGCTATGACAGGGCTCCCCAGCACATTGGTGTCCTTAGCCTGCAGCTCTGAGTCCCCGTGAACCCTCCAGTGCCCCTGACGCCGCCCTGCACATCCCTTCAGCCTGCCACTCAGTGTTCTACCTCAGTACTCTCAGGTCCTCGGGTCTCCAGACCACCACCAGTGGGCCTGGAGCCCCAAGGCAGGTCCTGGTTGGCCCAGCCCAAAAGCCGGCTGCTCCCAGGTACAACCTGATGACCTGCTGTATCCAAAACCTTGCAGAAACCTCCAACTTTAAAATGAAGTCTTAGGTACAGATGGTAAAAACCAGGTCACATGTGACAACCCAGGGCCTCCTACTTCATTGCTTTTATGACTTTTAAGAAGTGACCATGAAAATAAATCTTTATTTTCAGTTATTACCCAAGGAGAAAGTTAGGTTCACAGTTCAGCTCTTGATACAAAGTAAACCAGGAGGCAAACCACCACGTCCGTCACACACAGCTCCGGGCTGCCCGCTTTCATTGAGCGGGGATAATTCCCAGCCGCAGGTGTCCCTAGAGCGCTGTCTTGTCCGAGGAGGCCACCAGTGCAGCCCAAGGGCCTGAAGGGAGGCCAAGCTCGCAATCAGAAAACGGTGTTTTGAGGTTAGCACCAGTGCAGAACCAGCTCGGCACTGAGTCATCCAAAATCCTCAACGCCACACCTGGTCCGGGTTTGAGATCCGGGCCCAAGGCCACCCGACCCTGGTGCCCCCACCCCTGGCTACACAGCAGGTGTGCAGACCCAGATCGCTGCCTTTTAGAACCAGCTACTACCAGAGGTAGGAAGCTGCCGGCTAGGAATGACAGCCACCTTCAGACCTGCACCAGACAACTCCCTCCCTGCGGACTCAGCAGCCACAGCACAGTAGGGGGAAACCCCATAGCCCCACTTGCTGCAGGCAAGATGAGGGCCCCCAAAGGGGCTGCCTGCCATGGGCCAGGTGTGACTCCATTCCCGAGAACAGACATGCTTCCGTGGAACAGACTTCAACCCCCTGAACACCAGTCGGTAACAAACTAGGAAACTGAGGAAGAGCAAAGTTCTGGCCTGTAGTCTGTGGTTGCTGCTGCTGTCCCAGCCCTCAGGAGAGCTATCCGTTGTCAGATGCCCAGTCCTGGACACCCTGCCACACTCACCAGCACCCTCTGATTGTATTGAAAGGAAGGTTAAAGGCCTTCGTACACTGCCCACACCGAGGCTGGCCACCCATGGACAGGCACGGAAACAGCAGCGGCCTGCAGCATGACCCCAGCTCCCCACCATGCAGGAAGGGCCTGCACGGCAGGAGGTGCCCATACCCTGGCATCAGGGGCAGACAGCCACGCTCTCCAGGTGGGGTCCAGCTGGGATCTAGGACGGGGAAGCGGCGCTCTGTACAGCGATACAGCAAGGGGACGGGCAGGTGCGCTGGGTCCGCAGAGCCATGCAGGAGGGCGGAGGTTAATAAACCAGTGTGCTTGGAGTCTGTTCAAGTACTGATATTTCTGTATATAAAGATTTAGCATATATAACAGCTATCATGAGAAGTGAAAAAAGATCTTTCCCCCAAAATGAAAAGTATTAAAACTAAGTTAAAATACAGAAAGTAGTTAGTATTCCACACAGCATAAAATCTGACAAGTTTAAAACGTCCCAGCTGAGCACGTGTGAAAATGCAGAGCAGGTCTTCAAACCAACAGTACATCCAATATTTAAAACCAGTCTGGAACTGGGGAACACCTAGACCCTTAATAAAAACACGAATGAAGTGAAAGCTTTTAAGCTGGTACACACTGTTCACACCTATATTTCAAGTTTGGAAATGCATATATGCAAGCAGCAATACAAAAGTATTCATGAAGAATGCATAATCTCTGAAAATTATGAAAACATCCCTGCTACCAATACATTTCTAAATACAAAACTGACTGCCAGATCTGTTAACTTCTGAGTAGCGAGAGAAGTTCGTTTCAAACAGGTAAAAGTCAGTCTCTAGGTGTGAATGGTATGAATGACAGTCTTTTTTTTTCCTTTTTTAAATTTCTTAGTTGTTTGGGATCCTTAAGCATGCACAAAGCTTTGAACAAGAGGCCCCACCGAGGAGCCAGGGCGTCTCCGGGCGTGCAGTCAGGCCAGCGCGGGGAAGGCCTCTGGGTCGTCCACGTCCGGGGCAGAAGCGCTCGACTGGAAGAGAAGCAAAGCAGTGTGAGCCGGGCCACCTCCTCTCCCAGGAGCCTGAGGCTGAGGGCTGGGGACACCCTAAGGCAGACGCACGGGCCTCCCTCGCCTGTGCTCCTCAGTGTCCACTTGTGCACGAGCTCGGCTAAGCCGACTGCAAAAGCACTGAACACTAGAAGGTTCACCCGCTGCCCGGGCAGAGCCCCAGAAGGAGATTAAAGCCATGTCCTGAAGAGGCGCAGGCTGTCACACTGTAACCCCTGTCATCAACACCAGCCACTGACAGGCTGGAGCACATCTTCAGAAGGCAGGAGGACGTGGGGTCATTTACAAGGTGGATGGAAAATAAAAACACAAACCCCAACAAACCGAGAAACCCTGAGTGGGCACATGCCAGGCACCACACGGCAGACCAAACCCAGCTCACAGGAGTTTAGCAAGGAAACATGACAGAAAGCTCCTGCGACCGTGGGTCACACAGTCAGTTTTGTCAGGCAAAAACGCAGATGGCAGTGAGGAATCCCCAGGCACAGCGCACGGATGGCATTTCCAGCAAACCTCAGCTCTACCAAGACAGCCCAGTTCCCTGGTCCTCAGTTTCCTCAAAATGAGGGCATCGCCACGGTAACAGCAGCTAAAAAAAGTTTCCTGTGTGATAGGACCAAGCCCAAAGGTACTGCACTTCGGGCCTACATTCTGTCCCCACCTCAGACTATTCTGAAACATGATCACACTAAATGGGACCCTCCAGCCTCAGCCTCCCCAGGTGCGGAATTAAGGCACATGCCACCGTGTCCAGCTTCAATGCAGCCTCTTAAAGGCAGATGTCTCTTTCTTCTTCCACTTCTGATGTCCCCCAAAGAATCCACATCTGCTAGAAATAGTCTCAGTGTTACTCGATCTAGGGCAAAGAGCTTTCATAAATACCTTGTCGGTCCTGGTGCCACGGTTCGGACGCCCCCCGCGCCCACGGCCACCTCGCCCTCCCCTGCCGCCCCGTCCTGGGCGGCCGAGGTCTCCAAAGTTGATCTCCAGCTGAGATGTGATGTCATTGGCAGGCTTCCGGAAGTGGTGGTCTATCACAGAGTCTTCAGCGTGTGCCTGGAAGGTCAACAGAGCCATCAGGGCACAGAGCACTGAGTCCTCCCAGACTCACCTGCTGTCCAGGATGCCCTGTGTGTGTGAACCTGGCTCTCTTCTGAGGAGGCCTCCACGCCTCACGAGGACCTCTCTGAGCTGTGAGACACTGGCAGTCCCTGGTTAAAAGTACCAGCCAGCCCCAGAGCCTACCAAAGCGATGCAAACACCCCGAAATCTAAAAAGTCAAAACCTGGACACTTTCTATTAGAGATAGCGGGAGGCATTATGGTAACCATTGTTGATCACCTTGTATTATGTTTTCACATTATCTATTATGTCCACCCTTTTGACTTGACCGATTCTGTTCTGTTATGTCACATTTGGTTTTACTCTCTTCCAAAAAAGTAATAAGAACCATGGGAGCAATGAAACCCAAAATGTGTAATAGTCATTGTACAAAAGAGAGGAAAAGAAAGTGCTCTGTACTATATAACTGCATGTATATTTAAGTGTATAAGATAGAAAATGATATCACAGAGTTTTATTGGATCATTGAACAGAACTGTTTGCAGTATCATTGATGGAATGTCCACTTTACAAGCTTTAATTTTGTGACTTGAACAATTATTTCTAAGATGACAATATGTAATCCATTAACTAGTAATTTCCTACTGTTCATTTTTTTTCTGCAAATCTGTATAACTTGTACCCTTTCTCTGCTTTTTTTTTCTCCTTAAATAAAATTTAAAAAAAAAAAAAAAAAAAAAAAAAACCTGGACACTGCAAGCCTGAGCGTTTCAGCTAAGTACACTCAAGCTACAACGTGCAAGGCAAACACCAGAGGCTTTCTCCACAGCGGGCGTGAGGGGCTGTGCACACACGGACAGCCCAGGAGATGGCCCAGGAGCCACTGGGCTGGACCAAGTCCTTGGGTCCCCTTGCTTGCCTGAAGTGATACTCTCTCCCGCTGTGTCTGGGAAGCAGCCACACCCTCATCTGAAGCCCAGGATTACTGCTCAGACTCTGTGCTATGCCAAATCCAAAAGCAGCACAAGACTCTGCTGCAAGAGCCTGAAACGCACAGTACCTGTGCCCCACCCCAACCCCAGATTTCTAGCACGCCACTGACCAATCTGTCCTCTCTCTGGCACACAGCGACGAAGCCTCTGTGGACACAGGTGCCACCCAGGCCTGCTGGCCCGGGGTCCGGAGACCAAGGGTGGCCCCTGGCTCTCAGCAATTGTGGACACACAAGACAGTGCTCCAGTGCATGCAAAGGTGCTGACAGGGAGCCCATGCCGTGTCTCCCGGGGCTGTCCCACAGCGACACGCGCAGCATGTCTGGAAGCTAAACAGAAACCAGCACAGCCAGCAAGGGTCCCAGCCTTGAAGGCACCAGACAGGGCCCAGCCCGCTACTCCAGCCTCACTGCCAATTCTGTGCTTTCAAATGTCCTAGGGCAACAGAGCCCTCCCCAGGGTGACGGTGCCAGGAAGCACCAAATCCTTGCACATGCACCAGCCCTTCTGCCACCCACAGGCTGGGCGTGGCCATGGGACAGGCAGTATTCACTGTGTGGACTCTTTGAACAGAGGTGCGTCACACACCCAGAGGGACTAAGTGGACAGTGCGAGGTGCCAGCACACTGCCCCAGGCTCTGTGCACTGCACACTGTAACAGGGTTCAGATGAAATGGCCCTTCCACGTTTCCTGAGTACTGAAACAAGCAACCGGAATGCACAAAGTGAAACCACAGTCAAGGGGCGCGTGGTTCTGGAAAGTTCATTGCAGGGTGCCCCATACTGGGGCAGGGAGACTCAGCCCAGAGTCCACCAAAATGTCCGGAAAGCCCTTGGGCTCAGAGGCACCTCAACCACCGTCATGGTTTATAGGAAAGTGGAGCTGGACACACAACAGTGACAGGTGACTGTTTTAAAGGAGCCTGTGGGAATCATTTTCCCGTCAGCCCAGCGAGTTCAGGAACTCCTCAAATGGACGTCCCCCACCCACCAAGAGCTCTCCTGGTTCCTCAATCAGGACCCCACTCCACAGGATCTGACAGGCAACACCCGAGGAAAAAAGAAAAAACGAAGCAGTCTAGCAAAAATGGCTTTCTTTCTACCGCATTTGACAGTTAAGACAAATGTCTTTTTTACAGAATAAATGTTAAATATCATCTTTTCTAAACTCTAAAACATTCTGGTCTCTTTAATCCCAATTTTAGTTTTGTAAGTTTGCCCCAGAGTCATTTATGCTTGGTAAACTCAAAATACAGTAAGACCCTGCCAAGGGTTACACACACGGGTAGAAAGCGGAGCAGACACCAGGCAAGCCCAGGCCTGGGTTCAAGCCCAGCACCAGAGCAGCCTCCGCCCATCTTTCCCCTCAGGACGCCTTCCGCACACTTCAGCCTCCCAGGGAAATCAGACCTAAGACCATAAGCAGCAAGTGTTTTATTTCTTTGGTGCTGGGAATTGAACTCAGAACCGCACACTTGCTGAGCAGGTGCTGTGCCACAGAGCTGGACCAGTACAAACCACCAGGCCCAGCAGAGGCAGTGCCCTGACCACCCCCTTCCGCTGCACCAGCTACAGGGCAGCTGGTTTCCAAGGCGGACACATGTTACACCAAACAAAACCATCAGCTTCTCAGTCTAGTACAGTAATTGTTTAATGGTTCTCAGTAAAGTTAGGATTTTTAAAATATAACCACACCTTTAAGAGTAACTACCATTTTCCTAAAAAAGTTATGATAGGGCATCCACTGATAGCTTTTCAGAAAAAGACCTCCCATACTGAACTTCAGATTAATCAAAGGATAAAGCTTCTTACCATGTATAGTAAGTTTATTGTTCTTTCAAGATTAAGTCACTTGTCTCAAATGACCCTAGGAGCTTATTTTTTCATACTGGGGACCAGACCCAAGGCCTTCATAAAGAACAGCTTCCTGAGGCACTTTAGTACAGCATCTTGCTAAAAGTCTCCCAGGCTGAACTCACACCTGCGATGTTCCTGCCTCAGCTTCCTGGAGCCCTGGGATCGCAGCCGGGCTCCGCTATGCCCACACTTTACTTTCACATAAGGAGCCGATGCCGTTACAAGCAAGATTCCACTCATCCCCAAACACCCCCCAGCACCAATCTTGGCTTTACCTCTTCGCTTTTTGATTTATGGAGAACAAAGCCCTTCTTCCACTGCCCGTCAGCACCTTCGTTTGGCTTCCGGATGTTAAACTCCACTTTCGCCCGGTCTTTGTTTTGGATGGCCTTCCACTCGTCCAAGGTCATCTCTTTTGGACCCTCTTCCTTGACTTCTTCCACCTCGTTCTCTCTGTGAAGAGAGGTTCTCTTTAAAGCTGGCAAAACTGCTGCTGTAACTTACGTAAAAGCCTTTCAAACTGATGACTGTAAGCAAACTGATTTCGCCTAGTCAAGGGTCTCTGAGGAGGGAGATGACCCGAGGACGGGTGCCGGTTCTTCTGTGCAACCCAAGGTCTACGTGCAGCCTGGGGGATCTAAAAAGCAGGGCTGTGGATCCCGGTATGGACAAATGAGGAACACACAGAGTCAGCTCCAGAGCTAGGGAAGCATCACCGCTCGGGCGCAGACTTTGGCTGGCCTGGGCTCTTCCGCTGCACCCTCCCCGGGAAGCCTTTCCTCCCAGAAGCGGAGACCTCTGGGCGGGGGCCCACAACCCGGCTTCCACAGATCCTATGCTCCCCACCCCAACCCGTACTGAGAAGCCAAGCGTGGTCCAACACTGGCTGCACTGTTCAGTGCTGGCTGTCCTAAAGTGTAACTCAGGTTTTCACTTCAGTTGCCTTTGCTTCTTTTAACAGAAACAAAGCACAGGCCAGGTAAGCCCTTATCTTGGTCTAATCTCAACTTCCAATTGTCACCAAACAAGTCACTAGCTATTCTGGGAGCCCTGTTTGTTTCCAAAGATAGCAAAGGACTTATATACCCTGGGGACTGAGCAGCCCCTCCAGCCCTCCCTGCAGGCTGTAAGCTGTGGGCTTGGCCAGAGCTTGGCCAGACCTCCCAGAGCGGGGTGGGACCGTGGGTGTAGCACCCAACTCTGCTGTGTCCAGGTAACCTGGAGGTTCCAATACTGGCCCTGTCCACTCACCAGCTGTGATACCCAAGGAAGCCAAGACCCAGCTCATGTACATGGAGAAGCCACACACCTAGCTCGAGGGGTGGCCCCAGAGACAAAAGAGAATGGAACAGAAGCTCTGGGAACCAAGTGAATCCAACTGTACTTCCTACACTGTGACAGCCATGAAAGAGATCAACAGCACACACCACAGCTCAGTGTCGCCCAACTCCATGCCAGGGCAGCACTTCTCTCTGTGGTCAGTGTTGGTGTCTTTAGACGGGCTGCCCCAATTTCATTCCTGGGTCCTTAGCTAGGACTCGCCTCCAGCCGCACCAACACCACTTCTGAAAGGGATGAGGAGTGGGCTGTCCCTAAGGTGAGCAGCTGGGCCCTGTGGGCGGCTTCAGTCAGACAGGGCTCACCCCCCTTGGCGCTTACAGGCTCACTGTGTACCACCACGTGGCACCACGACTGCACACGGCTGCGTGCAAGTCCATTTCTACTAATCCAAGCACACAGCACTGCTTCCTGGCAAAGCTGCCTCCTCCTCCTACCAAGACACAGGAGCACACGCTGGATGAAGGGTGACCTCCTAACACGCTGTGCTGGGTACAGGGGCGTTCCTAGACAGGACATCGACCCAGATCCCCTCCCTGCACAGCAACTCCCTAGCAGTGGATAAAGGACCTAAGGCAGAGGAGTTTTCTAGGGACTGGCCCAGGAAACAAGGCAGGCAAGACAGACAGGCGGTTACATCCCACAGGAATTCACAGAGGAATAAAGAATCCAAACCTCGACAGTAAAGAAAAAACACTCACTAAAATGGGTAAATCAAATGAACACTCATTTCCCCAAAAATACACCCATGACTAAGAAACATATGAAAATGTACTTAGCACCACAGACCCCTAGCAAAAAAATCAAAACCCCAGTATACCATCTCACCCTAGCGAGGAATCATCGAACGCAATAGACAGCAAACTCAGGCAAGCACGCAGAGCGAAGCTCTCACACTGCAGGGAAAGTGGCTCCAAGGGAGGCAGACGGGACTCCAGCTCCTCACAACAGGCAGTAAGACTGCCTAGGAGTATGCCAAATGGGGCTGCCACACTAGGAGCCTGAGGCGACGCCCAGTCTTGGCAAGACCAAAGTCCAAAAGGGCTGGGGGTGCAGCTCAGGGGCAGTGGGTTCCACTCCCCAATACCGAAAAGCCAAGCAAAATTCAACAAAAACCACGACTATACACCCCCTTCCCCAGGACTGGAAATGAGCCACCCTGGGATTCAGTGACCCCACACCAGCCAAGGCTCGGAGCCAACCCACATGTCTGCAGAGGGACGCGAACAGAAGTGGGTTCGGTACAGCTTAGCCAGAGGACACTGCCACACACCAGGCAAACCACACACACACTAAATGTTTGCCGGGCGTGGTGGCTCATGCCTGTAATTCCAGCACTCGGGAGGCTGAGGCAGCGGCTCGTCCAGAGTTCAAGACCAGCCTGGGCTACAAAGTGAGCTTAAGGCCAGCCTGAACTGCATAGCGAGACCGTGTCTCAGAAAGACAAAAAAAAAAAAAAAAACAAAACCACCAAATGTTCTCACTTTGACATGGAAGTGAAAAATGCTGTCCTGTAAAGTGAGCCAACCCTGCCAGGGCCTGGGCAGGCAGGACGGGCTACAGGTGTGGCGTGCAGGTACACTGGGTACTCCCCGACATCCATGCCTTAGCAGGGAACCAGGATCCACAGCAGTGAAACCAGGACCTCACCCCACAGAAGGCACAGGCGGGCCTGGCCCAGGGCTCCTACTTGGTGCTCAACTCCAGGGAGGTACTCGCTGACCCCCACCGGGTCTCGGAGCTCAGGGGACCCCAAACTGCAATCCCAGGCTCCATCCCCATGCCCAGCTTGATTCTGCCTCTTGAAAAGATCAGCTTTAAAACAAGACATCACCCTGAACTCAGGAAGCAGATGCCAAGACACCTGCAGATAACACTTTGGCTGTTCTCGACCTCTAAAGCAGAGGTTATTCTGTGTCCCACAGGGTAGAGAAAAAGCGCTGGGGTGACACTAAGTTTAAAGTGGTCACACCAGCTCACTGCCTAGTTTTACTCTGAGCAACGGGGAACGGGCGGCGCCAGGCATCCCAGGCTGCTCAGCCCATCCCACTGCGGAGTCTCTGGACTGGGCCCTGGCCCTGGCCACTCACTTATTCTCAGTGTCAGCCGCAGGGTGCTCTTCACCTTCCGGAGTTTCCTCAGTCACATTTGATTGATCCAAATCACTGCAATTATAAGACAGTGGTTTCTGAATGTATTTGGGAGACTCTCTAAAGAAAGAGAAGAGAAAGAAAGGCACGGAGGTCCATTTACACAGCTCAAGGTCGGGTCACACACAAACACCCACTCCACACTGCACAAGCTTCCCTCCCTGGCCAACACCGCCCTGAGCTCCAAAGCTGAGACAGGAAGCCCGGACACAAGCAGCACGGAGCAGCCATCACTCCGGGTGGCCTTACGGGAAGCTGCCACCTCCCCTGACCCTCTCCTGGCTGCCGCCCGTTCCACCCTCTATCCAGACCACGCCACCCCTAGAAACCAGCAGCTTCCAAACCCCTCCACACAATGACTTAATTTAAAAAGCCAGAATACCAACGTTAATTCGTCTTTGACGGTGCCCCAGTTGTGCGACCCGCTGCCACCTCGCTTGTCCTCGTGCTTCAGGCCACTGTAATGTGAGAAAGAACTAACAGACCTGAGTTAACATACTCCTCTAGTCCTGGGAGCGCAAACCCTGCCCCCAGCAAGCAGCCCAACACACAACTGGCAGCCACACACTGAGACTTACGATCTATCGCTCCCGCTGTGCCTGTCAAACTCTCGCTTGCCACGGGCATCAAAACCATCCCCTCGGCTCATGCCACGGCCTCGGCCACCTCGCCCTCTTCCAAGGCCGCCACGCCCTCGGATGGGCCGCTCAATAATGGGTCTGCAAGGCAAAACACCAAGATTACACCTCCAGGGTTCCCCAGAAATAGGAAAACTCATTCAAATGCTCATAAACACACACGGGCTTAACAGCTCCTAGGCCAACAATCACGCATGCTCTACAAAACTCAATCCGTTTCTACATGCATGAAGCCAGGAGCAGGGAAATGTTCTGCACGCTCTGCAGCACCGGTGTACACACTTCAGCCTCTCTTGTACTGTAATCCAAAGAAACTGCTATTTGCCAAGACAGTTAATACTAAAATTAAGGCATCTGAGCTGCACAGTGGTTGGCTTTGCTGTAAGCAATTATCCCGTGGTATCGTTCTTTCAACTCAACATAAGGAGAACAAGGAGAAGAAGTCGGCTACCAACCTAAGGGAAAGGCTGCATGCCAAGGGCTCTAAGGCTGAGGTGGTCCCCAGCGGTCTCAGTGAAACACGTTCACATTTTTTCCTCTAAATCTGAGAAGCAATCAGCCACATCACTACCTGGTGATTACGCTCGATTCATAGCTTCTGTTAGGATCTAACTACAAACTGACAAAACATAAAAAAAAACACCCTACCTATCAACTGAAAATTCTCCTCCTTCACCCTTTTCTTCAAGTGGTTTTTCAAATCTTCTTTCCCGAGGTGGTCGTCGTTCCGGTCTCCTGTCAATTATTTTCCCTTCTCCCTGAAGTTGTTGATCAGGTCTTCTTCCAACGCGTCTTATTCCTAAAATGACAAAATACTCACATAAGCAAATTGTGTTTGCAAATACAAAAGTCTAAGCCAAGACTGTTAAAAAAAAGGCACACAGGGTGACCCATATGTTTAAAAAGAAAAAGTTCTTTAGAGAAATTCCAATTTTAAGTTCATCTGTGGTTTGCTAAGCAGCCCCCACCTCCCTCCCTCTCTCCATCCGGAGCTGACCTGGAGGTCACGCTGGCAGTCAGTCTCTGGGTACAGAGGTACACACATGGACACCCAACTTAAGAAATACACCGTATATCAGGACACCATTTAGGACTATGAAGAATGGCCTTTTTAAAGGTTTACATTTGACAATATTTTGTTTTCAAGAAATCTTTAAAATTTATGCACAACAGGAAGACCCCCTTTACGCAGTATCTGATGTGGAGGCACCCCAGCATACCTGGGGCAGAGGAGACCCTGGTAACTCAACGTGAAGAAACACGAGGGAAACTCAGGGCACTAAGTGACAGCGGGGACATCTTCCTCCCCTTACACTTTCCTTGATAACACCTTCAAGATCACAAGAACAACTAATGTGAATTATTTGTGGCCTTAAAAAAAATAAACAAACGAACGATGAAACACACAGTTGAGATTTCAAGTAAGTTATAATTCCTTTAGCTCTGAATCCTTAAAAGTAACTGAGAAATCAGTCGCAGGCGACCCTAACTTCACTCAGCTTCTTTCTAAGAAACCAGACCAGGACTAGGACACACCCACCGGCCAGCCACCTAGTAAACATCAAGGCCGCCAATCAAAGCTTAAGGTTTGGTTTCTGCAAATGGTCAGGATAGACTACAAATGCTACAGACAAAGCTTTAAAACATTTCATCAGAAGCATCGGGTACTGGGTGGAGCTATGCACACAGCCAGGCCCTATAATGATATCCAAACCAAGCACACCCAAATGAAGCAGGGCTGCTCCCCACCCAATACCCAAGAGGAGGCCCACAGACAGAATCTAAGTTCCTCACAGGGCCAGCAGGAGTGCACCTGCCCAGCTTGCAAGGCCTGAGCTACATCTCCACACGGCTCACCCCCAGAACAAACTCATGTAATGAAAAACAGTATTTGTTTTAAAATGTGTCTTCTGATGTACTCAGCTACACCAACAGCTAACAGTTTTAGGTTCTAGACTTTATATTAAAAAATCTGTAAACCCAGCCTGCATCCGGCAACATGCCACTGTGTCAATTCTCAAGTTCTTCAAACGGACAAGACAAACCCAGATTAAGGTAAATGCTGACCACCTAGCTAAAGCCAAGTCCAAAAAACAACCACATCGACAGTGATAAAGGAGGCCCAGCACCGTGCCAGGCAGACTGTCACCAGGGTTCAGAGCACAGGATCAGGGGCATCCCCGGGCACTCTTACCCTGCAGGACAGGCACCGGGCCTAAGCTCCCAGGTGGGGCACAGCGCCCCTCACTCTGCACCCCACTCTCACAAGGCTGTGTCTCCTGCAACCTCGGGTTAAGAGCGCTCTGAAACACACAGGAAAACGCTGACAGCTCAGGTAGAGTATGTCACTGTCCAAGAAGGGACTTCGGGTTGATTTTGTTAGGAACTCACAAGGCTAGCTCCCCGTAGGAGCTCCCTGCGCGGGCAGGCTCTCCTTCAAAGCAACTGCGCGCCTCACAACCACGCTCATGCTAGGAGCATTTGCAGCGAGGGCCCGGGCCCACGGCCACTTCACGGGCTCCAGCCTGGCGACTTTTTCATTTTTAAAAACAGTATCATCGGGAAGGCCACCTTCGGCACAGCGGAAACCGTTGCACGGTCGGGTTCCTCAATTCACACCGTGCTCGCCCACGGACAATCGCCGCGAAGCCCCGGTACCCGGGCAGATACCCGGGCCCGGCCGCGCCTCCTGACCCGGCGACCGTGCAGCCAGGACTGCAACACGAGGGCCGCTCCACGCACCACCTCGCTCCCACAGCTCGCGTTTCTGACTCGCTGAAGCAGTCCAGGAAAAAAAAAAAACAACCCAGAAACCCAGACCCCAAGCCCCACGCGGGCGCCGCGGCGCCGACCTTATGAGCACGTGGCAGGGGGGTCACCCCGGCCCCCCACGCGGAAGCCTCGCTGCCAGGCCCCATCCGCCGGCCACGCACCACGCACGCTCCTTCCACGCTCTCCGTCCACGCGCAACCCCCAGCGAGGCCGAGATGCAAACCCGAGCCGACCCGGGGTAAGGGGCTCCGTGCCCGCCCAGCCCCGACCCGACACGACACGACCGTACGCGCGGGCAGAAGCCACACAAGCTCCCCGGTGACAGCCGCGGGCTCAGGCGCCCAACTTTGCCCCACTCCAGCAAGTGGCCGCCCAGTGCACGCGACCGTCGCGGCGGGGACAGGACCGCACGTGTGCGGCGCCCCGACGACGCCCCCGCCGGCCCGCAGCCGGCTGCGCGCTCCGCACGCAGGAGAAGCCGAGGCAGCGCCCGTTCCGCTCCGGGAGCACGCGCGACAGAGCGAGCCGGGCGCCCCGCACCGCTCACGGCGCCAACCCGGGCTCGCCCGCCCGCCCGCCCGCGTGCGCACCGCAGGTCCCGCGCCGCCGCCCCGCCCGCCGCCCCGCTGCACCTTCTTTCTTCAGCGCCACGGCCGGCTGCGCCTCCTCCTTCTTGTCCGCCACGCCGACGCTGGGCGGCAGCGGGTTCTTGCGGTCCTTCTGCGACTCCTTGCGCAGCTGCTTGCCCGCCGCGCTGGAGTTGGTCTGGGCCGCGGCCTGAGCCGCGCTCTTGGCCCCGGGTCCCCCAACGCCGCCCCCGCCGGCTTCTTTTTTCTTGTTCTCCGCTGCCTTCAGCACCTCGAAGGGGTCCGATTCGTCGTCAAATAACTGGTCGAATCGGTTGGTGACCACGCAGCCGAAGCCTTCCTGTAGGTGCCCAGGCATGATGGGGGCTCGGCGGCGCGTTCCTCCACGGATTGCAGCGGGCCGCGCCAAGCCAAGAGCGCCTGCTTCAGCTCTTCCCACAAGATGGCCGGGCCGAGCGAGGGGGGCCGTCTTCTCTTCCGGCGCCAGGCGCACTTCCGGGGGCGGCCTTCACCGCAGCGCATTATGGGCTTTGTAGGCCTGCATCGTTTTTCCTGCGGTGTTTGCGGGCCCCGGCACTACGGTTCCCGGCGTGCCCTGCGCAGCCACTCTTCGCGCGCGCCGCGGAGGCGGGATCTCGGGCGGGAGAGCCTGGAGCATGCTGAGGGTGGGGAAGCGCGGCAGCGGCGGCGGGGGCGGAGTCCCGCCACCTGCTCTTGTCACCCGAGACGCGCAGGTCGGCGGCCGCCCTGAAAACAGGGAAACGTGACGGCATGCTTGGCTCGCGGCTACGCCAGGCTTTCGTTTCCCCCGCCCCGCGTCGGTCTCGGGCTTTCTCCGCGCGCCGGCCGGGGTCAAGGTGACTCGCGGACCTCAGGACGGGAGAGCCGAGGACTTCCGGGCGGGTGCGGCGCCCGCTGCCTCCGCGCCGCGCTGCCCTCGGCCGGGGACGGGCGGGGCCCCGCCGGCGGGGTTCGGGGACACCCAGAACCGAGCCCGTCAGCGCCCACGGGGTCCAGCGAGCCCGGTACCCGCGCGCTCGGGAGGCTGAGGCAGGAGAGTGCCCTGAGCGAGCGGCGTGGCCGCAGCCTGTCTCAGAAACATCAGGGGGAAAAAAGGAAAGAAAACAAGATCATGTTGGCGTCTGCAAGGGGAGGAGAACACAGGAATCAGTGGTGACGGACAGCAGGGGTCTTAGTTAAGAATCCCGAGGCCGTGTGGCGTGGGTGTCTATGCAGCACTTCGGGCAGAAGCACCGCAAGTGTTTAAATAGGTCGTGGTTTTTAAACCTTGCTCCACGGACACGACATGGCAAAGGCGTTGCCCGGGTGGCGGTGCCGGAGCGCTCGTTAGGGAGTCGGTTCCGCCTCCAATGGGAAGCGGACCTCCCATGCACACCCCTAAGTTCTGTCCCGGACTTCCGACACCTGCCCTGTGCGATGGAGCAGCCCTGTTGGCAGTGCGAGAGGCTTCCTAAGACTTTCCGATTTGTGAACAGATTTTCAATTAATTCCTGAACATAAATAACAGACAAGGTTAGATTTCAGGCATGTGGCAGCAGGCCTCCCAGTTATCAGAGTCGCTTCTCTGCGGCTGGGCCCCTCCCCCCAACCCTCAGGTTACGAGGGCCTCGGCTGTCACCCGGACAGCCCGCGGGAGTTTGGAAAGTCGCTGGAGAACAATCTGAAGACATCGGTGCCTGCCAAAGCCTCCCTCCTCCCAGTATTGTTACTCCGCAGTTGGGGGTGGGGGTGGGGGGCTCCTCACATTCAGCGTCAAGTTGGTTCATTTTCCCCTAGGGACTGCAGTTTCCAGGCATCTGGGGAAAGCTTTTCTGTCCACCCCCACAGGGCAGTAGGACGTTCCAGCTCTGCCTTCTGGGACCCTCCAGCAGGATCTCACCTCCACTACCAGGAGCCTGAGTGACTCACCCACGGCCCCCCGCAGCAGGGCATTGCCCACTGGCTGGCCTAGTGTCCTCTGCCCCACGTCCCTGCCCTCCTTGAGCGCCGAGCTCTGGCACAAGACACGCGTTTTAGGAGAAGCTGATGGGACTCAGCTGCAGGGCATTGCGTGAGGCTCCGTTAGGTCCCTCAGGGAAGTCATGGGCTCAGATAGCTTCAGAACGGTAGGAACAGATGGGGAGCAGCAGAGAATCTTCAAAGAACATTCAACTTTCTGCTTCCCTTCTCTTCTGAAATTTTGGTTAATCCAAAAAAGCTGTTACTGTTTTCTAAATACATTCCTTCATCCTAAGAAATCTAAGTACTCTGTAGGGCTGGGCTGGGACTCAGAGTCCTTGCCCAGCACTCATCAAGCCCTAATTTGATGCCCAACACATATGAAGAAGAGGTTGTAGAATACATAGTCTTTAAAATACTAAGACCTAGAAAGATACGGTGACCCACACCTGGACACCTAGCACCCTGGAAGGCTGAATCAGGAGAGTTGTGATTTCAAGCCTACCCTGGGCAACTCAGGGACTTAGTAAAAACCCTGTCTCACAGCAAAAAATTAAAAAGACAGCCAGGGCTGGCACTCAGTATGAAGGCCCGGAGTTAAAGCCCCAGTACTGTTAAATAAATCAACACTTCCTGCTGCTCACTGTAGGGAAATATTGGTAGAATAATCCTCACAGGAGGAGAAAAAGAGATTTTGTGGCTTTTTACTTAAAGGCAAGCTTTCTAAAGTAACAAGTTTGTTTTAAGATTCTACTAGTTGGGCTGGGAATTTAACTCAGCGGCATAAGCGCCTGCCTTGCGAGCAGGCAGTCGTAAGTTCGATCCCCGGTACCGGAAAAAAAAAAAAAAAAAAAAAAAAAGATTCTACTAGTTCAGATTTAATGAGCAAATTCAGTAATGTGGCTGGTTACAAAATCAACACTCAGTACCCTTCCTGTGCACAAATAACAAACTCACTGAAAGAAACCAGGGAAACACCACTTTTTACAGTAGCATCCCAAAAAATGAAGTACCTAGGAATCAATCTAACAAAGGACGAGGAAGATATCTACACTGAAAACTACAGTACTCTGAAAAAGATTGAAGAGGATATTAGAAAATGGAGAGAGATCCCATGGTCTTGAGTAGGAAAAACCAATATAGTGAAAATGGCCATACTTCCAAAATTGTTATACAGATTCAGTGCATCTCAATCAAAATTCAATAGCATATCTCACAGAATTAGAGAAAACAATCCTAAAATTTACCCAGAAACAAGAGACCTAGAACATCAAAGGCAATCCTGGGCAACAAATACAAGACAGGTGGCATCACAATCCCTGACTTGAAATTCTACCATAAAGCTACTGTGATAAAAACAGTATGGTACTAGGGGGAAAAAAGACCCAAAGATCAGTGGAACAGATTAGAAGATGCAGAAACAACTGCAGGCACACTAAGCCACCTTACCTTTGACAAAGGTGCCAAAGTCAGTGGAAGAAAGACAGCCTCTTTAATAAATGGTGCTGGTAAAACTGGCTCTGCATATACCAGAGATTAAAACTGGATCCACATCTTTCACCATGCACGAAACTAAAATCAGAATGGATCAAAGATCTTAATATTAAAAGAGAAACATTAAATCTACTGGAAGACAGAGTACGTAAAACTCTTGACAACATTTGTGTAGGTGAAGACTTTATAAACAAAATCCAGATTGCACAGGAACTATCACAAAGAATCAATAACTAGGATCTCACCCCACTGAAAAGCTTTTGCACAGCAAGAGAAACCATCGACAGTCAAGAGACACCCCACAACGAGGGAGAAAAAGTTGCCAGCTTTTCCTCAGATGAAGGATTACTATTGAGAACAAATAAAGAACTAAAAAACAAACAAAAACAGTCTTCCCAGGTTTGAAGACCCAATCCAAAAATGGGCATCTGAGATGAACACACACCTCTCAGATGAAGAAATACAAACGGCAAATAAATACATGAAAAAATGTTCAGCATCACTGGTCATTCAAGAGATGCAAATTAAAACAACACAGAGATTCCCTCTCACCCCAGAAAGAATGGCTGACATCAAGAAATCAAGCAATGACACATACTGGAGGAGCAGTGGGGAAAAGAGAACGCTTCTCCACTGCTGGTGGGAGGCAGATTGGTGCAAGCACTGTGGGAATCAGAGTGAGGATTCCTCAAAAGGCTAGGATTGGAGGTCCCATTTGACCTAGCTATTCCCCTTTGGAGTATCTTCCTAGAAGAATTAAAAAATTATACTTCAGTGATATATGTGCATCCATGTTTATAGCAGCACAATTTGTAATAGCCAGATCTTGGATCAGCCTAGATGAGGAATGGATAAAAAAACTGTGGTAAATTTTATACAGTGGAGTACTACTCAGCCATAAAGAAGGATGAACTGGACACTTTTATAGGTAAATGGATGCAACTTGAGACCATCCTCTTTAGTGAAATAAATAAGACACATGTGTAAATATCATATTGCCTCATTAGTGTGAAAAGCTGAGAGAACGTATGTATATGTATAAAAAATAGTTAAGATAGTTGTGCTACTGGTTTCTTCGAATTCAATAAAGCAGAAGGTTTGTGCTGGTGTCATTCCGACAACTGAATGCAGATGTCCTGTGCTCTGGGTGACTGATTCAGGGGTGATGATACACATGCTGCCCCTGGGTGACATGTTTTGAAATTTTGTTTTAACTTTTTTCTACTCTTTTTTAAACCTTTTTCTCCTTGAAATAAAAAGGACTTGGGAGAAAAAAACAGAGCCATTAAGCTGCACCCACAGAATAGAAAACCAAACACACCCACACACAGAAGAAAAGATTCTACTAGTTAGAAGTGCGGCCTGAGATGTCAGCTCTGCAGCAATACTTGGGTCACAACGTGTTTCAGCGACAAAGTCCCTTGCCTAACTGTAACAGACGTACCAGGTACTAGCAAAGCTCACACTCAGGCTGTTACCACCCCTTCCTGCCTGAGCTCGCCAAACGGGTGCGAATGCTCTATTCTCAGCCACTTTATAATCTTGTTTTCACCCATTTCTAAATCATTTTAACCCACTGGGCCTGGTGGCACATGCCTGTCATCCCAGCACGTGGGAGGCTGAGACAGGAGGATCATAGCAAGTTTGAGACCAGCCTTGGCTAGAAGGTGAGCTCAAGGCCAGCCTGAACTGCACAGCGAGACCCTGTCTCAAAAAGACAAAAATAAAATGAATCGTTTCAGCCCTCTGTCACTGGGAGCATAAGAAATGCCAACAACTGTTATTGTGCCAGGACTCCGCTGTCTTTCACGGTGCACCCTGTTTCCATGAGTCCTGAGGGCTGCACTGGGAGGTGAGCAGTGCAGATACTGCCGGGCCACCGTGGGGGTGGAGAGAGAGCCTCCCATGCTGCTTGTGGTCAGGGACTGAGTTTTTGGGGTACTCCGCAATGCACTGGGAAGGGCCGGAACTGCAGCTCAATGGCATAAGCGCCAACCTGACAAGCGCAAGGTCCTGA